GTTTGTATAAATATTAAAAAATTTATAAATATGAATACATTTTCTAGGGGACTTGTGCCATGTACAAGAAATTCTTTGGAGGACTGCCAAATGAAACATCTTTCATCAGAATCGGCTGTGCACCCACACTCACTGTCTGAATTTAAGCCCTCTCCATTGCTTTGATCACAGCTATTTCAGTTTAAATGGTTTGGAGTCTCTGTCGGAATGTCTAAAGCAATTGTTGTTTGGTCTCTCTGCGCTATTTAGACTAGCACTGACAGAGACAAAGAACGATAACTCAACAAGAAGTGCAGCCTATACATATATGGAACACATATTGCTGTTCCTGGATTTAACCATATTTAAAAATTTTGAAACATTTATAGAAGCTGTAAAGATATTTAAAAAAAAAAAATACCACTTATAAACACCAAACATTTCCTTTACAGAGCAATTCCACTTTACCTTTACTTGATTTCTCTGTAATCTTTGCATTCAGCCCTAAAGTAGCTCCTTCCCGGTTATTGGGAGTGTAGCTCCTTAGACATCTGTGTAACATGTGTGAGTCAGCAATACGCCTGTGGTAAGTATGTTTGGGAATTACTTTCCTGCATCAGAAAATGGGGATCTCAGATCACTGGGTCGTCAAAAAAAGAAATTCAGTAGACTTGTGCAATATAGTGATAAGCAAACTGTCTTGGCTTTGGTTCGCTTGGTGTGCGCCAAAGACGGTCAGCGAAGAAACCCAGAACTGCTTGTGACCTGGTAAGCAATGACACTGTGGGGCCCATAGCATCTTAGCCACTAATGACGCTGTGCTGCCCACGCAGCATCACTGGTTGCTAGGGGCCCCACAGTATCATAGGTTGTTATGATGTACCCGTCTGCATCCTAGCAACCAATCATGCTGTTTGGTTCAGCCACCAGTCAACCAATGAAACTGTGTAACCTGCACAGCATCCTTGGTTGCTAGACGCTAGCTGCTGGGCTGCACATAATCACTGGCTACTAGAATGCAGGTGGGCGTTCCATACCAACCAATGACGCTGCGGGCCAATCAATGACACTGTGCACATTGGGCACAACATACCTGGCTGCTAAGACACTGTATGGGTGTCATGGCATCCTCATTCACTCCTTTGCCATACTGCAAACAGCTTGGATTCGGGTCAAACTCATGATGGATGTCTTTACCAGTGCACACATCTTTTCTCTTATTCGGGAGCCACCAAACCCTCATTTGTCTCCACATACCTTTGGGACATATACTGTATACCTGGACAAATGTAAAAATTGCCTACTGCAGGTCATGTGATTGCTCTCAGGGAGACAGAAAGACAATGGTGCACAAACAGCTATGCAAGGGAGTGCAATCAAATATAAACCACGTCAAAATGAGACTCTGCAGAAGCTAGAAAGTGATTTGGTTGTAACACATAAAACGATTCAAAAGAATACAAAATGTAGGAGACCTGTATTTATTTATGTTAATTTTATTTGGAATATCGCTCCAAGGGATAGTGCACCCCCATTTACCACCATATCTATTTGCTAAAGTTATGGGCCATGCAGAATGAAAGCCATAAACATGATGTTGCATAATAGCGCCAATCAAATGATATTAAAAGCAACTGAGGGTTCATAATTGCTTCTAACATTAGGACCTGCAATTGTTCACTATAAATAACAATAGATTGTATTCTCCCTTGGCTCATAACAGAGTGAGTGGAGAGCTACAGTTGCACTTATGTCTGCCAAATAATTTACATTATACCTGATAGAGGGTTATCATTATCCAAATGTTTATAACCAGAGTTCAAAGATTATTGCAACATGTGGGACCTATCATGTATATCATTTAGTCTATATTGGGAGCCATAGTTTCCAAAGATTGTTGCCAATTTCAGTTGGATATTCCTCATAATTGCTAAAATGCTTAAAAGTAATTACAGCATATCCACTGGTGTCAGATTCTGTAAACATAAGGTAACAGGTAGAGGGTTCGCATTTGGTTCCAGGTGTAAGAAGCCAACCTAACAAATATCACAGACCCAATAATGTTTTGGAAAAGACTCACATCAGCCATGGCACTATTTAATGACCCTCTCAATGAGCTTGCTGTAGATGCCACACAGTCATTGCAGAGAAAGTATCCAAAATGTGCACAGAATACCTAATCAAGAATATCTTAAACATTTTTTGCCATTAAAATACAATATACTACAGTAAAGTTAGTTTTTAGATATAACTCCAGAGCAATTTAAATGGATTGCCTTAGTATTAAAATTATAGTGTAAATTTCATTCCATGGAATTCCTATAAATGAACACACTACTTAAAATTCTATTGTGGTTAAATAGTACCATATTTTAGAAGCTGACAACTTTAAATCTTTCATGAATGGTGGTAAGATTTGAAGCCACCTTGGGTGTGAAACGGATATCACAGTTCCACAGTTCAGTAAAACACTGAATTCATGTCAGGACCGGATGCAGACACTTTAGTCAAAGTATGTAGTGGCCAGTTGGTCCACCTCTAGCAGATGCCTTTTCCTTAAGGCAAGTGTGCATACTGATACTTGGATGCCCCCAGAACTTAAACTATACACTCTGGCTATAAATGTCGCAGGCAGCCCCTAGGAACAATGAAGTAGTACTGACTGGTGACAACAAAATATATAAACAGAAAGCAAGATAGAAGACAGAATCCAGATACAAAATTTAAGACAGGAACTGGTACAAGACAAATACAAGACATAAGATACAAGATGGTGCAGGATCCAGGAAAGAAGGCAGGTACAGGATTAGGTACAGGGTTCAAGACAGGACCAGGATGCAAGATACAAAATCGACATATACAAAAGGCAAGATAATGGCTTGTGCAGACAGGACTGGACTGAACTATCACAAGCCCAGAGCATTGTGATGCTTAAATATAACACCACTAACCAATCCCCAGGCTGAGGGATTTGTGGCCAGGCTCATTAGCCCACAGCTGACAAGACTGGGAAAGGTGAAGTGAAAACAGGCAACCGTTAGGAGCTGCGAGTTTGCAACAGGCATAGGAGCATTAAGGTCCCCACACACCTTACGATAATCGCGGGAAATCCCGTGATCGTACGATTATCGTAAGGTGTGTGGAAGCCGTGCGACCTCTACTACTGTAAGGTTGCACGACTTTTAACTTACGGACATGTTCGAAAACCCGCCAAGCATCGTACGATGTTCGGCGGGTTTGTGGCATGTCTGTATGATAAAAGCCGTACGGGCCGGTGTGCGCAAGCGCACACTGCCCGTTAGGCATTGCGGTCATCGGAAGCCCGCCCCTCAGGGGGCGTGGCTTGCAATCATCGCAAGTACGATCTGCCTATGCAAGATAGGCAGATCGTACGTTTTTTTAAGTACCTTACAACCATCGCAAGACAAAAGTCTTGCAATGGTTGTAAGGTGTGTGCCCAGCCTTAGACAAGCTCCTAACAATTTTAACCCATAATGCACTGCATAACTTTTGTGCCTAGTCAGAATGGTCCCGTTAGTTGCTATGGGGGTTGTTATGTCACTGCTGCAAGGGTTAAATGCTTGTTAAATCTAGGAGGTAAAGGAAGTGACTCTAATACTCACCTCATGTATTACTACCCTGGCACCCGGCGCTCTTGTGGTGGGCTTATGGTGGCCTCACATATAATGCAGGACTGTTGGTCCTGTCTTATAGATGGGGCTTTGTGGGACTGGTCGCAAAGATAGAGGGCCCCTGACAGAGTGAGGAATGCGTTAAGTAATAGAGCTTGATCCTCTACTCCTAGACATTTGATGTATGATGTTGATCTTTGAATGGACATTTAACCCTTGCAGTGCGGAGTTATTATTTTTTTCTGGTGCCAGAACTTGTATATTTAGTTATACAGATCGCTACACTAGGGACCAAGGCAGGCCTCACCAGGAAATTTGAGCAGGAGTGGGATCTTTCCCTACAAATAAAGGGCAGTGGGGTGCTTAGCCAACATCATTCTATAACAACTGAACAAGCACATTATTGTAATAACGTCTACATTATTTTATGTATAGGTCTGGTCCCCAGTGGTGACAACACATGAATGCTACAAATCACATGACAACAATCAGAACTTCTAACCACACAGTCACTTTCCCCGTGCTGAAGTCTGAGACCAGGGGAAGAGTGCTGCGCATGCGCATACCGCTAAAGTCTCTCCACAGCTACAGTACACGGCGGCCGTCTCTACCAATCGGATACGAGTTGCTGGAGGCGCACCAATGATAAAGAGAAAAGGTTGCTCTACTTCCTGACTTTCAGCGAATCAAATGCCGCCGTGAAGGTACTTTAGGAATAATCTGGCGCCACATTTTGAATAATCTGTTAGGGTACTGCTGCTGGGGGATACACAGTGACAGAATGGTGGAGGGTCCGGGATGTACTCTGAACGGGGAGAAGATCCGGGCTCGGGTCACCAGGGGTCAGGGTGTCCGAGAGCTCCGGGGGAGCGCTGTGAGAGGCACGGTATGGCTACTCATCATCTCTATATACAATTTCACAATGTATGTGCACAATGAGAGGTACAGTGGGTGTGACACAAGTGAGTGTTATCCACATTGAAATGATGGTCCTAAGATACGTCCCGGTATATATATAAGAAGTATACTGTATTATATTTTTCATTCCTCTCCCACCTTTTCTTCTGGCTTATGCAGAAAGAGAGCCAGATGTGTTCTGTAGGACTATGCCCCTACACAGCTGGGCCCGCACCTCTATCTTCTCTGACATCATCAGGAGGGCTAGCTGTCTCTTCTGGGGTTCTGCAACCAGACCCCTGATAAAGAACATGTCTCGTGACATGTCATCGGGACCAGCTACAAGATCCATGGAAGAGACATCCGGCCTCCTGATAAAGAACATGTCTTGTGGCATGTCATCAGGGGACCAGCTGCGAGGTCCATGGAAGAGATAGCCGGCCCCTGATAAAGAACATGTCTTGTGGCATGTCATATGGGACCAGCTGCAAGGTCCATAGAAGAGTTAGCCGGCCCCTGATAAAGAACATGTCTTGTGACACGTCATCAGGAGACCAGCTACAAGATCCATGGAAGAGGCAGCTGGCCCCCCACGATGACACCATGGCACCAGCGCCATAGAGTACCCCAAGGTTCCCCTAGAATGTTTGACATGGGTATTCCAGGAGGCTACAGAAAACACGTATGTCATTTTCACCTAGACCAGAATGCAGGAAGTGTGGAGAAATATTTAAAAAAAGCTATAGTAACCATTGGATTGTTAGCGAGAAAGGGTAGAAGGAGAGAAAGTGGGTGGGAGGGTCTGTTTTAAAGGCATTTTTTTAGGTTTACAATTTTTCATATTACTTTACATATTTTTGTTATATAAACTAGGAAAAGTGTGCCCATTTGATGAGCAGGATGAATATGGAAGAGCATGTCTGTTCTGGCAGCAGATGCACGTTGTTGAAGTGCTCATGGGTGCAGGGGCGGTGGGAGAAGGGCGTCTCGGTGCAGTGTCAGTGGGTGCAGAAGTGCACATTAGTATAAAATGACACAGAGTTGCAAAAGTCCCTGTCTTTGCAGTGACAGGGAGTACGCAAGGGCATATCAGTGTAGTGGCAGCTGGTGCTGTGGTTGCAAATACCAAAGAGCATGTCAGTGCAGTTGGCCGATATACAGTATACTGGCTGTGTCCCCAGGGGTAATATGGGAAATCATGTAAATAATACATTGTGGGAATAAGCCTCCTGCTCTTTAGCTCCCTCATCAACTTCTCCCAATCTTGCCTCCAAGTCTTCTCTAGAGTCTCTCCCCTCCTCTGCAACTCCCCATCTCCAACCTGTCCGGCTATCTGGACGATCCCTGAAAACTTGCCTATCCAGACATCCCAACTCTCCCGGACGCTCCGGGAGTCTCCCGCTATTAGAAAGTGGGTCCCGGCTTAAATAGCCAATAGGAATCTAGCTATGCATTACTATGCTGAGTTTTTTTTTAAATTCTGGCTGCAGCAGCTGTCAGAATACTAAAAAAAAACAAACCTGCAGATAGCAAAGAAGCTATTGCTTCCTGTGCCATCTGCCCTTCTCATTTCAGGGGGGGTGCTCCACCCCGCAGATTGGGGGGGGGGTTGGGCAGAGGTCACCTCCCTGAAATTGCTTTCTTCAGGTTGGGATCCCTGAGCCTATCCCACCTCTATGTAACCTCAGAACTATTATTTTCTCAAACAACTTATTCCCACACAGCTATCATCTTTTGCATCACTTGCCCATCCCTTTTAGATTGTAAGCTCTCATGGGCAGGGCCCTTCTAACTATCCTGTTTTGAAATGGGAGGGAGTCCCAAAGCCAGGGTAGTTATAACATACCAAAAGCAGCTTCACTTCTTGAAGCCGTACTTTACCCTGCCCTCTCCCACTTATTGTGCTTCACTATTGGTCACTGACACAGTCTGTCATCTCATTGATAGATAACCAGTGATGTGTTTTAAAGTAGCACTAAACTCTCAAACTATTTCCAACAACGAATCCAAATAAAACAAATGTACAGTGCCCAGCAAAGTATTTCTTTAATTTTTTTGGACCAAGCACTCAGTCATCATGTTTCAGAACAGCTCTAACTCTCTTTGCTTGGCTTCCCTGAACTTCCTGTCTGGTACAAGATCAGAAGAGACTGAGCCGTCTCCAGCATACATCTAGCTTGGAGGAGTTGGAAGGAGGTAGCAGGGGAATTGCTTTCCTTGCTGTGTCTGTGTGTTTGCGGAGACACACAGCTTACTAGCACACACAAGGGTGGCTCCATAGGATCCTGCAGAGGAAAGGAGTCACCCTAAAACAGGATATCAGTGATCAGGGACCGGCTGATTCTGCAGAAAACAAAAACTTTTAATCGTCAAGGATCAGCATCCATTGTAAAAGATTTAGTCAGCTTATGAAAAAGCTTAAAAACCACCTGACTTTAATATCACTTTAAGACTGGGGGGCCTGTTCATGCACAAATCTAGGAACTAAAATGACTATTTCCCCAGCTTTGTGGCTGCTGGTGATCTCTACAAGATATGTAATCAAAGTACAGGCACCTTTAGGCAATGCTCGATGCACCGTTTGTAGAATATGCTAGTCCTTAGAAGAAAGCATTGCCTGCTTGCTTGTTGGCAGCCTCTGTGTAACTGACTTGTCCAGATTGGCCCATCTTTTCTAGGAAAAGGGGAAGGCTGTGTCTCTCCTTTGAGTCATTTAGCAGTCTTTTTCTCTGATTTTTGGAGCTATGCACTGTTTCTAAATCCAAGGCCTGCCATCTAGTCGTAAACCCCACCTACCTATACATTGAGTGGCCAGATTATTATGACCACCCCATCAGTACTTCGTTGGGCCACGAGATGACTCCACGAGATGACTTCGTTGGGCCGCCTCGTGACTCCACGAGATGTTGAAAGGTGATTAGAGGTATCTGACACTGCACTGTTGCCCTTCTGTTGTCTTGTACCAGTCTTGCCACTCTCCGTTCTGCCCTAACATTGTCTAGTCGCTGACGGACACAATTCGCACGTTCAGACCCAGATTTTCGGCTGACAGTCCAGTCTTTAAACACTTTAACAGCAGCTGCTCTTGAACATTTAACGAATTCTGCTGTTTTGCTGATACTCGCTCCATGGCTTACGCCAACAATCATCCCACGTTCAAAGGCAGTTAAATTGCGTTGTTTACCCATATCTTCAGAAAAAAAATCACTTCTACGGTCGTGGTAAACAACCTGCTCCCTATTTATAATGGTCTGGCCCTCTAGCAACTTCAGCGCAAAATTATAGCTAATTTGCCTACAAACGTCAGGCGGTCATAATAATCTGGCCACTCAGTGTATGATCCAATGACAAATAGCCTACTAGCTGTTGTCATTGGATCATATAGGTGGGTGGGATTTAGCTGCAGAATGAGGAAAAAGTGAGGTTAGTTGAGCTCCTGGTTCCAGATTTCTGTCTCCCACTGTTCACCCAATCTGAAATTTTAGATGCTGTTCAAATAAGGTGATTTTAAAGCGTTTATAATCCCAAGAACAAATGTAATGTATTGCAGCTTACCAGTCCTTAGATGTGGTGACTGCATTTGTTTTTTTCTCCACCCTTCCTGTACTGGGTGCCAGTGCTCATTCCTCTACTTTATCTATGGAGGAGCAGCAATATCATCTTATGACAGTACTATAAAACACCTTACCCTCCTATTCTCCAAAACAGAGGGTAGGGTTCTGTAGTCCATCGCTTCACAGAAGTAAAAAGGACATTTCATTACTGGCAAGATCTACAGGCATGTTCTGTACTTGCTGAAAATATCCTTAGCCTAAACAATGAAAATGAATGCACCTATTACATCTCTGGACTGGAAAGCTCCAATGTTTTACATTTTCTTCTTTGTATTCCTATGCCTATCCCACCTCAACCTAACCACTCAACCTTCACGTTCTCAAACAATTCATCCCCACACAGCTACCTCCTCATGTATCACTTGCCCCTCCCTTTTAGATTGTAAGCCCTCACGGGCAGGGTCCTCCTTACCATCTTGCCTTGTATTGTGATTGTAATGTCTTCCTTATATTGTAAAGCGCGGTGCAAACTGTTGGCCCTATATAAATCCTGTATAATAATAATAATAATGTAGCCTAATTTTGGCTGCACATGTTCAAATGTTTACTCCGCTCACCTGTAATTTGGATAATGATCAGTCGTGTCCATACTGCCGAGTACACTTGTTTTATTATTTAAATATAAATTATATAATCTAGAGCAGTGGTTCTCAACCTGTGTAACTTCAGGACCAACATTTGTCCTTGGTCATTAAGTCGTGACACAAGTCGCACGGCATTAGGGTACCGGGCGTAGGAACTGTGGGTGGGAGGTGACCACCAGAATGCGCGGTAGGTGCGATTGTGTGGTACAGTGTGTTAACGCTATGTGATTAACACACTGTACTAGTGTGAACGCGCCCTCAAAAACACTAACACACATACACAATCTTACACACTCAGACATTCTCACACACACTCCAAAAAATTAAATTTTTAAGGTCCACCCGGTCTCCCTATCTTAGGAGAACTGGAGTGGACCTCAGCCTTGGGTCCAGTGCTGGGCTGCTGTGCTTTGACGGAGCTCCATCCATAGGTGCATTGCTTGAATAGTTCCCTCACAAGTCCTGTAGCGGTGCTGGGAGCCAGAATGTGACATCACTCCGGTCCAGGCACCTCTACAGGACACATGAGGGAGCTGTAAGCAATGCACATATAAATGGAGCTCCCTCGTGGCCATACCCCCAGCCCACTCCACCTCAAGCTGATACTCGGTGCTGGGCAGCATATTTTGCTTGGCGCGAGAACTGACAGTGCTGTGCTATGGGGGAGGCTCTGAGGAGCTTCTCACCTAGAAAAGTGGAAGGCACGCAGCGACCCACTGAACATGGGTAGATAGATGAAAGTAGTCACACCCACTCCATGATATTAGTCAATGCTGTTTATTGACTGAGATAACACACATCTCCTTAGCGACGTTTCGAGACATGCGGCCCTGTCCTCAGGCAAACGGAGAGTGAGTCAAGCAACAAAATCAAACAATAAATACAGGTGAAACAAAATCAAACCACCAATCACAATGCAGTTAATACCTCCTCCTCTGACGTCTGAACATGGGGTCACCAGTTGAGAACCAAGTATCTAAAGCAGGGGTCGGCAACCCCCGGCACGCGTGCCCAGCCTTGCACGCAAGCGCTTGTCGGATGGCACGCAAACGTACTCTTTACTGTTTGGAATTGACAGCTCTCTCGAGCCAGGTGTCAATTACAAGCTTGGCCCACCCACCTCCCTGACGTAGCTGCAGCCCATAGGTTCGTTGTGGATCTAGCTCTGTCCCTGTTCCTGCCTTGCGGCTCCCTGATTTCCCAGCCCGCCGGGAGGGACCCGGATCTGCACCTGCCCGATGCGCAGATTCTGTTCCCCGCTCAACACGTGGATATTCCCAGTCAGTTCAATTTGTTGTCCTCAATGATCAGCTTAATCTGCCCAGAAAACCTTGTGGTAAAACATGTCTCCGTTCTGCAGGGGTTCTGTGGGGGAGATTCCGGAGTTGCCTCGTCTGTAAGTAAATCCCACACTATAGAAATCCTGATTGTTGCTGATCCAATATAAAAGCAATTGCAGCCAGCTGCCTCTTTGTGTCTGTGGGGGATGTCCATGGAGTATATCAGTCTCACACAATGCTCCAGGTATTGCTACAATATCTTCTAGTGATTTTACAGAATGATTATGCAATTAAAGATCTGTGCCTCTCCAGCATAATGTGATGATGGCCAGCAAGTGGGTAAATCGCTAAGTAGCCAATCACTAAAGTCGCACATGTGGCTCTAGACTAGGAGTAATCAGTCTGTGGGTCCAGGGTGCTGTGTTGGGTCCAGGCAGGGGCGTATCTGCTGCGAGGCAAACAAGGCGTTTGCTTCGGGCGGCAGATTCCAGTGGGGCAGCAAAAATGCCACCCCCAAAACATTTAGGCAGCCGTGCTGCACAGAAACCGGCAGCCTGGCTGCCTAATGTCAACGGGGAGGAAGCGGCAGGCGAGGGAGCAGGAGGAGACAGAGGACGGAGCGGCAGGGGGTGGAGACAGAGGAGATGGAAGAAGCCATGTCAAATGAAAGTAACACCCTACATGTCAGACATAGCACAACTGAGCCATACAATGCAGGATCACATTAAAATTGTAAGCACAGTTTACTTTTCAGCACATGTAAATATGAACATATTTTGTGTGTGCACCAGTTATTGTTTTTTCCACTTATAGTTTTGCTGCTAATGGCAAGATAAACACATTTAAATAATTAGTGAGTTGAACTTATTATTAGCACTACAACTATGAGTGTAACAATTGAAGTTTAACTAACCCTACGGTGTGCTATTGTTCATCGGCACCCGGTTGTCTGATGGTTGCAAAAATGGCACTCGGCGTGTAAAAGGTTGCTGACCCCTGATCTAAAGTAATCACAATTGAATTGATAAAAAAGAAAAACGATTCAACACGTACAGTAACAATTGAATTTGGCTAAAACAATACATGTTTTGTCTCATCCACTATTACCTGTGAGCCTGTTGTGAGTGAAGATGATTATTTATTTATTAAAAGTTGAGCTCCAGCGAACACTTTTTTAGAAGACATTTTTGACAAATGAGACAATGGTTGTCAAATGAGCCAATGGGGACATTCTGGTGGCAACTGTCATAGATGAAATTTATCCTCTCTTTTGAGGAGATTTTTTTTCTTACTTCCTGTTTCCCTGAAACAGGAAGTCGCATAACTGCCCAGACAACAATACCAACCTGACAGAAGGTATGTCCGTTCCCCAATCTGTCTTTGGGTGAAGTTCCTCTTTCCTTGCAGAAGAAGAAGTTGAGTACTCTGAAAAGCAAGTGCACTTTACAATTTATGTTATATCACCCCTAAATGCCTTGGAGCTTTTCTTTAGATCTTTTCAAAGACTTCCACTGCCTCAGTGCTCTGCAGTCATTTTATTTTTAAGCGGTATTTAAAGGATGTCGATTTTTCAACTTTAATTACTAGTTTGTGCTCAGTGCAGAGGCAAAGTAATTGACCATGCTGTAGACCAGAGCATATGCCAATAGTATTTCCGTAATTACCTTTCCAGAAATAAAAGACGGCAGATGAGTGCTATAGTCCATTAGTAAGACCTGAAGCTTTCCTTCACATAATATCCTTTTCTTATCTGAAGTCTAGGGCTTTTCATCGTCTGCTATTTAGACTTTTCCACTTCGTGCAGCCTCAAAGGCCACTGAGTTGCTTGAGCTGTATATCAATGCTGTTGTATCCCTCCTGGACATTTAAGGAACATTTTACGCAGTTATGGCGACAAGAGGTGATTTGTGAGGGATTTCATTACATTCAATTATTAAAATAAATATTCCAGCGGTGCTGTCTTAGTTATAATGGCAAAGTCTGAAAAGCATAATTTTACTGTGAAATGGCTCTCAGAAGAGATGGTGGAGGGCTTATCAATAAAGCCAAGTAGCTTGTGGTTTAGAAAAATGAAGGGAACGACCAGGAGGTATGAGAACTAAAAAAAAAAGGGCAGAGTTTACAATCCATCTTTTCTGTATTGCTTGTTAGTGGTTTCTTTAATATACCAATATCGGGGCCATAGGGAGAGCTTAGAGACCTTGTTATCCTATGCAGAATATATGCTTATTTCCTGCACTCTGCTTAGCCAATTTGTTGCTGCTATTTGGAATGTTAACAAGGTGACCTATTTGAGTAGATAAAGTGAGAGGGTGTTCTACAGTGTGCTAGTTTATTTCTTTTTGTGTAGATCATTGCTGTTTACCTGTTTTGGCACAATAATCTGAAAACAGAAAAGTCCCATTAGCCTCTAGCTAGTTTTTTTTTGCTCTGCAAGGTATTAGACACCCAGAAGTGAATGACAAGTTCTGATACTCAAGCTGCAAGGTGGAATAATCATCTAAAGTGACACTAAACCTTAAAAATTAGGGATGCACCAGTACCGTTTTTTAGGTATCGAGTAGAAGTACTGACATCTATTTTTTGGTACTCGCCGAAACCGATTAGCGGTACTTCCGCTAGCGTGGAGCTGGCTTCCAGGCAAGCAGGAAGCTGGGCGGCGTGTCATTATCCACCACCTGGCTTCTTGATTGCTTGGGAAGCTGACTCCATGTTAATCGGCCAGGAAGCTGGGTTCCTAGCCAATTAGCATCGAGCTAGCTTCCCAGCCAATCGGGAAGCCAGGTGGCGAGTTATTGCCAGGACGCCAGCTCCAAGTAGATTGGGCCCCCACTTAAGTCCCTGGACAAGTCGTTTTTAAAAAAATGTCCACACCCCTGATCATCTAGTCCTTTCATGCTCAACCTTACAGCCCCTGGGCTGCCCCTTTCACTCATTGGGTTTCAGTTCTTTTAAACATGGAGGCTTCACATCACATGTGCACATAACCAAGGACAGTCTGCAGGCCAATGCAGCCTGCCTAGGACTGCCCACTCCTCCAGACAATCATCTCCCCATCAGGACATTTTGATAGTTGCATAACTTTTCCCAATAGCTAGCCCTCTACATGCATTAATGCTGAGGACTCTTGAGAGAAGTACTGAGGCAAGGTGCTGTGATGTTTTCAGGAAACTATGTAACGCACCCTGCCAGTCCCTCCCACCAGTCATGATCTGCCTGCAATGCATAGAGAAGCACATTGATCCAGCAATGATGCCAGTGGGTGAAAGTAGGTATGTAATGGAAATGTAAAGGTTTTATTTACAAATTTCTTTAGCATGTTGATAATGAGGAACCAGGGAAGGCAAAACATATGCAGATTCAACTTTAGCTTGAAGGCTCTCCTCCCCTGTACCTGAGCTGAGCTTGACACATAGGTCTTCAAAGCAAAATAGTTTTTTGCCTTTTAAGTTCACAAACTGATTTTGACAATTTTGTAGAAATGCAAGTGGTCACCAATGACCCAGATTTAGCAGAGCTTTTAGGGCTTGCTTAAGAAAGAATCCACTATTGGCTGCTTATTTTCTTACGGTTTCATTTCAACTGCGACTCAATTCAGAGTGGTTCATGTACAGCATAGCTGGAACAGGGATGCCTCCTTCCTTTTAACAATTGTTAGCTGTGTGTATTTTGAGCTGCTGCTATTCAAGTCTGTTCCAATTGCTTATTCATAGCAAGACAAACAGAGCTGTGCTTACTTGTTGCAGGTGGTAAATATAAAATAATAAAAAAAGATTTAGCATATTTAAGTGGAAGTGTGCGAAAGATTTTAACGTTAGACCTGAACACAATAAATATTTACAACAGTAATTTCCTTTTAATTATAAATATCTCCTGTTGATATGATTTTGCTATATGTGGTGGCACTTACACAGATGACATTGTAGTTTATTAACATTTTATTTGTCCTTTTTCAGTCACAGAAGTCCCCAAGCAATGCATTATCTATCCCCAGCACCTGCATTCTAATGTCTTTGATTTCCTGCACGTATACTGGAGTGCAGACATTGGGAAAAGAACTCTTCATTTATTTTGAGGCAAAAGCGTTAAGGTAAGAGAATCTTTTTTTAACAAAAAAAATAATACAATACATCATTTTATATAGAAAATACAATTCTATATTCCTCAACATGCTGAAAAAAATTGTTTGGCTCCAGAGAGATTCAGACCTTGGCACTGGATGGAAGTCTACAATGTGTAGCCCTTTTTTCATTGTGCCCTGCACAGATTCAAGGCACCCCTCCACACCACATCCCAGACGCATCAAAACACCCGCAAAACATTAATGATCCTCCTCAATGTTTCACAGATGGTACAGTGTTCTTTTCTTTGAAAACTTTTTTTTTTTTTTAAATCTGTGAACTGATGTGACATGCCAAAAACTCCAGTTTTTTCTTTTTGATCTTTTTTTTTTTTCCATCTGGGGTAAAATGTCCTCTTTTAGCCACATCCAGTTCACTAAACTCCCTTGGACCTTTAAACTACTTAATATTATTTGCAGCTGTAGTCACAGGATCAAGCTGCTTCAATATAATCTTATAGCCTTTACCTTTGACATGATATATATATGTCAATACTTTTCTTTTACAAAGATTTTATTTGGTTTTTGTCAGTTTTTGTTGTCACATAAAGGTTACAAAAATAACAAACAACAAAATTAGGGCATGCAAGCCCTGCAACAAGGAATCCAAATTGAAATTATACAAACATAACAGCATGCAGAGCCCTGCAGGCTGTAGAACAAAACAACGGAACAAGCATCAGAGAACCTTTTGGGTATAGAAATGGGGTAGTGCTGCCCAGTTTTAGTGAGTGAGACCTAAAGTGACGTGAGAAGGAGCATCGTAGGGGATGTCAATACTTTTCTTTGACCTCCTCTGACAACTTTGGTTTCCCTGGTCCATGCTCAATGTGGTGCATACAACGGTACCAAACAGCAGAGTGACTAATTTTCCCTATTTAAATAGGCTGACTGATTGATTACAAGATTGAATACATGTGATACTAATTACAGAAACAGTAGGTTTGAAATATTACTATGATCCAATTATTTATAATAATTTTCGGCAGTAGCAACAAATCTCTCCAGGACATTTTAGAATAAATGAAATATGGAATAATTTCTCTCTTGCCAATTTCTTAGTCTATGGCACACTGAAGGCAGGTATACATGAGGCAATCCTTCTAATTTCATCACTTTTAAGAGGGAATGGAGCATTGTAAGCTGTAAGAATGCCAACACATTTTTTTCACATCTACATACGTATGTATATATGCATGTGTCCATTGACTTGAGTACAGAAAATTTGGTGGTTTCCTGACTTCCAATCCCAACTAAAAATGTTCTTGCTCATCGTTACACACCCATAAGTATTCTTTTTAGACTCAAACTTCAGAACTTTATTATACTATCCAGGCATGGATGTACTGAGGAGGTGAGACGCTTTTTGGGTAGTTTAAACACAGATTAATTTCTCAGTAGGATACACATGCTTGACCCTTACCTACTATTTACGTAAAAGTTGACCCATTTTGAAATTCAGTACAACAAATGTCAGCTTTTCAGCCTAAAAGTTGATGGCTTTCACTGAATGAGCCCCAAATTGTAAATGTTACCACATTTAGCAATTTTATAAAGTTGCTGTTGTACAAATCTTCTGTTAAGGGTAAGTTCTAACCTCTGTCTCATCTGGACTAATCGGAGATTGTCAAATGGCTCAAAAGTTGATGTTCATAACACTCAGTCTAATTTTACTCACTCAGATAAAGATGTAAAGAGGTATCAGAAATAATGAAAAAGCTAGTCTGCTTGTATTTCCATTCAGTACTACATATGATTGACATACTGCTTGGTATAGCAGTAGAGTCAGATGAGAACTGTGATTATTGTCTTATATTAAGATGTTCATCATAGGAAGATTAGTGGATTGCTGAATAAGAGGAGAAACATTTATGTCACAAAAGTGTGCTATTTGTTGGCCTCCATCCTTCAGGCAGGAAAGCAGAAAAAAGTCATATAGATAAATACGGGTCATGCAAAGCTAGTTATGTCCCTGCTTCTGACAATAATCCAACTTTCCAGCTGTTCTGTCCACCAGCTATTGAGAAAAAAAATGTAATTGACCTAATGATCAATGGAGAGGAAGCAATATTACAGTGAGAGGTGTAAAAGCTTTGATGTCCTTGATCTGCATTCCTACCTTTAGCTTCTGGAGTTGCCTGGTGTGTATGAGGTATATATGTGGCGGATGAAAGATGCTTCGCGTTTTAGGCAAACTGATACACTGGAAGTCACCATGAGATACTTTTTCCATTTAGAGCTAAAAAAATAGATTTTATTGTTTTATAACTTTTTTTTTTTTTTTTCTGGTAAATTCTCTCAAATTGGCAAATATAAAACATTTTGATTTTGGCTTGCTTACAGACTGCTGTCCAGCACATGCCCAGCATTTCTTCATCGACTCAAAGCTACAAAAAAAATAAGTGACTTCAAAGCCCTACAAAGTCACCCTGGGTTCATAACCTGTATTAATATGGTCTGCAAAAACCACCCCACCTTTGGCGCTACCAAACTTTAAAAATCACAGTGTTTACATTTCACTGTATTGTAAATGCCCTGTGAAAGTATAATGAAAACCATCAAAGTATGCAACAATAAAAATCCCACTTTATGAAAAAATAAAATAACATTTTTATATATATATATAACATTTGACTCTTAACATACCCTTAGGGGATTGTAAACTTATTCAGTACATATTATTGTATACATATTAGATGAAAGTACAATCACAGATTTCTTGCTTATTAGACATCAAGTATCATAAAGGTTGTTAAATGATGACATACTTTGTATCTGTTCTATTATAAAATCCAACACTTGTAAAGTGACAATAAATGTTGTTTCAAATTGCCACACTTGGGAAAGTGACAATAAACCTTGCTCTTTTTCTATTTGTACAGGCACAGATGGTATGCAGCTCTGTTATTTTTTTAAAAATTTCAATTACCTGTTTTCTAGTGGGTTCCCGCATCACTGTCTCCCCCGTCCCCCGCATGGGTGCCTCCATCAGCTCAGCGGCTGCTGTGGAGGCACCCGTACGTGCTCATTTCTGGTCTTGCCCGCTTTAGCTGTGAGTGTCCATGGACACACACACAGCCCTGTGGCAGGCCACGCCCCTCCTCTACGCCCAAAAAGTTGATTGACAGCAGGAGCCTATGGCTCCACTGCCCTCAATCTCCTTCCCCGCATCCAGGAATTTTTGAACGGAGGATCGCTTTGGGGACCGGCAGTGATAGTGGTGCTAACAGGTAAGGGGGGTGGGGGGGGCGGGGGCACACAGGATGATGCTTTGATGCAGAGAAAGCATTAAGGTAAAAAATGACCTGCCTTTAAAACTACTTAATCCATGTATCATACAATCACAGTTGTGTGAATTCTCTTTCAGCAGCCTACATTTATAATAACTCTCCATATGAAATGGGTAATGCAGTTCAATCCATCAATCTTGTCACAAGAAACCTGCTCTGCATAAGGGGCGATAGTTGAACAATGGTACAGTTAACAGAACTATGGCTTAGTTTTAGGTATTGCTCAACACAATCCCACATTGTTCACAAGCTGGTTACAGTAACTATTAGCAATGTGTAACCTTTTGGCTACATGATGCCTTCTATCTGTTGCATAGATTTTCCAATGCACTTGTTGTGCATTAAAGTTTATAAAGCTTTAGGGCTGCAACTAATGATTTTCATAATTGATTAGTTGGCCAACAATTTCTGTGATTGTTTTTTTTTTTTTTCAGATAAAAAAAAAATTTAAATACCATTTTTATTTAACATGAAATACACAAATTGAGTGTTACAAACATAAAGTTTACTTCAAAATAAAACTGAATGCACGTTTTTTGCAATCGCACTGCAGTGGAATGCACTCCATTTCAGTACTGTGCGTTCCAGTGCAGGCGATCACACTGCGGGTCGGGAGGTGTGTTTGGGTTGCCATTGAAATGAATAGCACCACAACGCACATCCTGCAGCAGAATTTGTCAGGCCGAAACCAAAAAATACTTTTTCCCAAGTAATCTTCCAGGACAGCATCTGAGAGATAGTCTCCTCCCACCTGAAACAGGAAACACATCACATACACCAAATAAAAGGGCACTTACCCCCAGCATGCCTCAGTTATTTGTGTTTCCTCGGCCTAAACAGGAGCATGGGAAATATTTTGTTATTTTTTCTGTATAGGCCTGCGTGAAATGTAAAACTCCAAGCCAATATAATAAAATAACCAATCTTTTATTTAAAATAAGACACCACATTTGCACAAAAAATACAGATGTATATAAATAAAAGCCCAGTCATCAGTTTAGAGTTGTCCATGAATATTGGCCCGAGAATTATTGCTCTCACTCGTACATAGGTGCACCCGATTTGTGTTTTCATTAGTATGCGTGGGGTTGGGGCTTTACATTTGTTGGGGGGTATTTTTAATGTTTATTTAACATTGCTAGCACATTGTAGGTGGCAGGTTCTCTTTAAGGTGACATTAGGGGTCTATTAGACCCCTAGTGTAACCTTTCCACTTCAGTCGTTATAGCTGGGGAATGTAAATACAGCAGGCGGTGACTTTGAGCAATAGCCAGCCTACTATTGGCTATTTCAAATTGTGATAGCCAATACTGTTCAGTAGCCATAAGAGGTAGTGAGAGGAAATCCCTCCAAAGTAAAATAAATCCCTGGCGGTCAGAGAAGTCACCAGAACTAGTGTCCCTATTGGAAAATTCCCATCTAGTCATGTTCTGATGATGACCCCAAATTTGGGAATTTTATTTTACTTTCGCTCTCGGTGATAATGGTCACCAGGACAAATAGAAAGGGTAAATCCCCCTAACATGGACAAAGACAGCAATAAAAGCCAGACCTAACTTTTCTCCAAACAAAAAGATAGAAGGTGAGAGATGATAACATGGCGTGCTGAAGCAAATATGATCTTTTTTTGTTTTATGACTTTAGTGACTCTTTTAATAACATTGAGCTCAGTATAAGCCGTGAACATTTAATTGGCAAATCAAGTTTTTGTTTAGTGCACTTGTTTCAAAAGGTGGTTGCCAGTGTCATGTATCACCTTGTTTATAATACTCTATTTTCCAGCAGAACATTCTTCAGTTCTATCTTCATTTTGTAAAATAAACAATCCATCTAAAGAGAGATATAGGAGAATGTCACTGAAATGAACTTGGATAAATATTTAAAGATCAGCCAACTTGATAATTTCGTTGTAAATAATTTAGCGCTTTAAGTAAACACAAACATCAATATGATCTTGTTTTTGGTACACGTTTTGTAGAATAGAAATTGCAAGATTAATGGATTATAAAAGTCACTTTTACTTCTGTTCCTTTGGTGACACCACAGACCCCCTTGTACTTGTGTCTCCCATAAAAACTGCCTCTTATGTTACTATAAAGCTTATTTTTGATCTAGTACTGTAAAGTGAACATGGCTGTGTGTAAACACCTTGAGGGGAATTTATCAAAACTGGTTTCTTTTAATAGTTCTGCAGCATTTAATGAATCTCTTTTCACAGCAACCATATACAATGAGGGGAATTTATCAAAACTGGAGCAGACAAAATCTGGAGCAGTTGTGCGTGGCAACCAATCAGCTTCTCGCTTTTATTTTCAAATCCTAACTGAACAAACTGAAGAGAGGCTGATTGGTTGATCCAGTTTTTATATATCCCTCCCCCCCCTTAACTTTTCTTTCCCCAAATCAGAAAGGTACACTTTTTACATATACAATAGCACAGGTGTCTGCCATATCGGGATACATCATTTAATAAGATTTTATATGTTCATCTGTTTCTAAGAATGTGATTACATAACGGGGTTGATTTACTAAAGCAGTAGAGAATGTTCACTTTGTTAGTGAATTTCATTGAGCATTTAAAGTGTGTTTCCACTTTTGCATCCACATTTGTAAAAAAACCTTCTGTATGTTTGTGTTCCTAGTCACACAGCATACTGAAAAATAAATAAACAATATATATATTTCTTACCTTTTTTTTTAGATGTTTTGTTGCAGGAGGCAACATGGCTGATTCCATTTTTTTTCTCCGCACCTCCACAGTGATCTGTCCTTATAGAAAGACTCAGGACTGAGATTTGAGGATTGTGTTTGTCTCATTGACTCCATTAACATACAAATGGAGAAGCTCCTCACCCCTCACCGCTCCCCCTAACATTACAAAAGAAGGAAAAGCCAGTAGAGTTTTTTTTTTAAATTTTTTGCTTCTGCTTTGTGAATGGTAACTTGTAACAAATATAACATAGGTGTTATCACAATTTGGTTTAGAGAGTGGATATACACTTCAATCTCACTTAATCATTTTGCAATTCCAGTACAGAGCTCACAACTGGGATTGCGAAATGAACAATAGGAGCCAGTCATTTCTGCTGCAGTGCTCATGTGCTAATGGGACATGCTGATAGGAGGAGGAAGCAGAGTGAATGAAATGAGATTATCAGAAGCAGCTTCTAATTTTCACTGTCCAGTAACATGCTGGGGTAGGGACAAGATGTCTGTATGTGTTATTCAACTGCACAGCGAAATAAGTCTGGTCTTTTGCCCTTCCAGACACAGATGCCCTCCAAGGTAGACCTATGAAAGTCTTAGTACTGGATGTACAGAAATGCAAATCCTTTGGCAGGAGAAACATATAGGTATTTAATCGTTGTATGTACCCATTTGCCTTGAGTTTAGCATTTACCCCATATACCCCAATAAGCATTTAGAATGCCTGTACTTTTATACAGTTATTCTTTATTGTAAATGCCTGCACAGGTTTAAGCTGGCTTCTCCTGCTTCCATCTGATAGCCTTCAGGTCTGGGGATTGGCTGCTCAGGCACAGAGCACTAAATTGTGGGAGACAGAGGGGAGTTTTTCATTTTCTTCTATACCTTTTACGGTAAAGCGGACCTGTACCCATATTTTTAAAATGACAACAAACTCACCTTTAGAAATGTTTAGTAATGACAATCTACAAACAGATACTTCTAGATAATTGCCGGCTTTGTATTTGTGTATACCTTTATTTCTTCTTTCTTCCCCAGTCTTCTGACAGTGGCCATGTTAACGAAGGGCAAATTACTAGCTCCTTTCATTCCTGGAACTCTGGCACAGGTGACTAGGACATGTGACCATGCACATTATCTCAGGGGAGGAAAATGCCTTTCCCAGAGATCTCATGAGGCTACAGATGGGATTTCCCAGCAATGCTCTGGTGATGTGATTTTTAGTGAAAGGGAGTAAAGGTCCACTTTAAGTAAATGTTTTCCTTCCTTTACAAAATGCAACAAGTCATAGTGTTTTGGGTGAGACATTGACAATCCATTGTAATAGAGTTAGCAGATGGCTGCAGTGAAGCACATACAAAACTATAATTGATTTATAATGTTTAGTGTTCTAATTTATCATCTTAACAAGCCAGTAAGAAGATAATGAATAGAACAGAAAAAGTCCTGCTACTGCTTCAGACATCTTTTATAAATCACCAGTTCTTTTTTCCTTTTGGCTCACATGTGGTGTAATCACACTTAAACCTTGTCCTATTGTTCCATCCCAGAGTTCATTTTGGAATGAATGGATCAATGCGCATTAATCCAGCAGAGAGAAAGGATAGAAGCGGAGCTCCAGCAGTTCTAGAAGTGCAGCTCACCAAGGATTTGATTTGCTTTTATGATTCCACAGTGGATGTCAGGTAAAGCTTAGACCTCCCTTCATTGTGACTAATAGCTCTGCAGCTGTCCTGTGGGTAAAACGCTTTGACCAATGGCGCTACTGCTTCTTATAACCATTTTAAGGTTTTTTTTTTTTCCCTTTTTTTTTTAATATTCTTTTTTGCTCTTACTGAAATATTCTGCAGTATGTAATCATTTTTTATTCGCTGAGCTTACAGAGATTTGTCTTTCTGTGTGTCTTTCCATATGTCTGTCTATCTCATCTGTCATTGATAATCAGTGAATGTGACTTTCGCCAAACATTGATGATACATCTATTGCTGTAATTTAAAACACGTATAGAAAATAAAATAAAACACATGCACCTAGAAGATTCACTCAGAGTGAATGTTCATAAATGTGTGCAACTCATTCAGCACCATAAGTCTTTCTGGTACGTCGAATCCTGTGTCCTTTGGCACTTATGAGATCTGTGCCTGCACAGCCCTTGCTGTATTCTTTAGCACAGATGAAACATCCAGCAACATTTTCACAAATAAGCCAGATGTAAGGTGCTACAAAGCCCCTTGCTTTTTTTTCTGTAGTATCATTTGAAGGTACAGAAAGCTTTCCTACCTCTCATATATATGAAGTTAATCCACCAGCATTTCTACTGGGAGTAGGTAGGAATGTCAATGAGTCTCTCAGTCCGCTTCAGTCATGCTTGTGTTACATTTTTGCAACTGGTAAAGCTTTTTTGTGTAGGACGTCTACTGGCTTGTAAAGTGCTCTCGGCACTACTACTATTCTACCTGTGCTTTTGCCACACATGGCCACTTAGCACAACTGCAGAACGTGGCTGTATATAGTTCTGACTGCTCACTGATGCATTATTGTTAAGACACTACACGTGTAGTACATGCAGAATAGATAATTTTAGTTTCAATCTGAACTCTGCTCAGTCATTTTTGTGTTAAATTTGGGGGTGGGTGGATAGAGGAATACTTACTGTATTTCTTGCCTGCTACTGATTGTGGGCAGACCCTAGATGTCGCCCCATGCAATACAAGACCACTAACATTCGTGATGGGTTGGCTGTACAACTGGCGAAGAGGAACAGCTTTATAGGATCAGTCCTCTGGCAAGGAGGAAGGCTGTTGGATAAAGGAATATGGTAGGTATTTCTCTACACTACACACCCCCTGTAGACTAAATGAACATTTATACATTACTCTTGGGGGAGAAGGGGTGTATCCATGCCTCACCACAAAATACTTCTATTTTATGTTTGACCAGACATACAATTGATGTATTTTACTTTAAATAGGAGATGGTATTAATTATTATTATTTTTTATCCATTTAATCGACTAATCAAAAAATATTTGGCCAACTAATTTATGATAGTTGCAGCGCTAGTGCTGGCGACGTACACTGTACATCGTCAGTCACGAAGGGGTTAAAAAAGGATCACAGCAAAAAAATTGCCCATCTGAGGAAATGTTTCGGCCTGCCTACAGCAAACTGATGGCAAACTGATGGCAACTCATCTTTCATAGTCACTTGAGCTTGATGACTGATGTACAATTTTATATTACAGCACCCCCTCGGTTCTCCTGAACCGAAGGGGTCCTGGGGCCAAAGCCAGCCGAAGGATCGGCTGAAGCTACGGCCAGATCCTTCGGCAGCTTTGTGAATAGACCCCATAGTGTTTTTTTTTTTTCTACCATTGCTGTGTATTGTGATGTCTGTTTATACATACAGACTTCTAAAGCTACTAAAGAGCTCAATACACATGTAGCACAACATTTAGCTTTAAAAGAGAACTATGGGGTAAGTGTTTTTCCACATAGTTCTCTTTAGGGTCACGGGAGGACATATACTAACCTCCTCCCATGACCCAAAGCTCAGTATATCGCGGGCAATACTGAGAGCGCCGCAGCCGGGATGGATCCCGACAATACTGTCTGGATCCATCCAGCTGCGTAAGTGACAGCTGGCTCTGCCTATCTAGAGGCCGATCCAGCTGTGCTCACCGCCTCCCCTGTCCATTCCTCCACTCGGCGCTGGAGGATCGGGGAAGGGAGGGGGAATCCCTGCAGGGAGCGGTGACTGACAGTCACCGCTCTCTGCAGGGAGAGACTGGAAAGTGAGCGAGCGACGGTATGGGTTCAATAGAGCCGACATGTGACAGCTTGTTTGTCACAGGTTGGCTCTCTTTAACCTCCCTGGCGGTATGATTTTTTTGCTCCTTTCTAAAACATACATGCTCTGCAGTATCTGTTGACATAGGCACTGCATCCCTCATCAGACATGAGCCTCAGATGCACTTTAGCACTTTCTGCTCTTGTGTATAATCCCTTAAAGTAAGTCCATAGTATCGGAAATGTATAAGTCAATGTGATTAGTGTCATGTAAATGGCTATCAATGTGTTGCTTTCTAAAATATTTTATTATTATTATGATGATTGTGTATGCACAGTAATCATTCATTATGTATACAGGTGTATATGTAGTGAATGTACTTAACTATCCTCAGTTCAAGGTCTATCGCTTAGCTCAGATTAACTAAAAACAATATGGTCCCCAGGTGTTGATTTCATTTTTTTTAGCTTTCTTTCTATCTTTTATAAGTCTCATTGATGTTACTAATGAAATACTTCTGAAGACGTGCAGAATATTTCATACAGCATCTTTTATATCTCTGCTACACTTTACTTTCTGTGGTTGAACCACGTTATTTTTGGTTAAGAGTTGAGGTTGACCTCGGCTCCAGTGAGATTATTAGAAAGTCTTTTCTTTTTTCTCAGGAACGCTTTAGAGTGTCAGGAAAAAGTGCGGTTATTTGAAGATTTAGATATGTGCTCCTCGAAGTTCAGCTTCTCTAGAGCAGCGTGTGAGGTTAAGAAGCAGGGATGTCGGATGCTGTGTGACGTGCTCCTTGATCAAGCAGTGCTCCCTGGAGTTGGCAACATTATCAAAAACGAAGCCCTATTTGATAGCGGCCTACATCCAGCCATACAGGTACAGCACACTAACGTTTTTTTATACTGGAGTGATGCCAACTGCTGCCATTTCACACTCAATAAATCACTACACATTTATAGAAAGGTTACTCTTCTCGTTGTGAAGTTTGGGTTGTAATTAGTTGTTTTCAGCTCATTAGTGCTACCAAAGGTCAAGTGTTTTACTGTTTTTCATTCTTCTACTTTGCTTCCATCACAGGCTGGTTTACTAACAGATGGACAGATTAGCCATCTGGTGAAGATGACACGTGACTTTACGCTCCTCTTTTATAAGGTAAATAGTAATTTGTTATAAGAATCACTCTGGAATAAACTCTGCATTCAATAAATGTTCTGTTTTTACAGTGCAGAAAGAATGGATCGGCTCTTTACAAGCATTACAAAGTGTACTCAAAACCTAACTGCGGCCAGTGTGGTACAAAGATCACAGTGTGTCGTCTGGGAGAGCACAACAGAATGACCTATTTTTGCTCAAAGTGCCAAAAGGATAAACCTCAGCAGCTTGATGTGAGGTATACAGCAGATTTTCTAGTTCATTTTCTAGAACTGTACATTTACAGTTCTGTTTTTATCAAATATATAAAAATAACACATGTTCTGTCAGACTTGCAGAATGTCTAAAAACAAACCTTTGAAGCTGAACAGGACCATAGCCCACCAAACGGCACATTACCGGCAGAGCAGGAGGTCAGATTTTTCTTTGCTGCCGTTCCACTTATTGGTCTTATTCCCCCTCGGCCTGTGACTGGGCAGTGAAAGGAGAAGCACGGGTCGATTCGCTTATCTTCCTGTCACTCTGCTCTCTCTTCCTATGAGCACACGTCTTGCACTGCAGTACACTTGATTGGGGTCCTTGTGGTGCTTCTGTACCAGTCTGAGCTGTGTTGTACAGGGAAGGCAAGAGGCTGATTCCCAGGTGTGATGAACGGCAAGTCTGATTCCACTGTACTGCCACCAATATATAACGATATGCGGTTCCGATACTACCTTGGTGCCACCAATATGTGACGATACCACTCTCAGCCTCACCCCGAACAGAGATTTTCCAGCTTACAGGACGACAATCTAATCGCCACTGGGTCGTTTAACTCTGTAGTTAACCCTTTACACACAAATAATAGCTGTCCCCATGTGTTTTAACATAAACATGCATTCCCAGCAAATGCTGTCACAATTCTAAACTTAAGCAATGCTTGTGAGGCACACTTTCCCTTCAGATAGGAATATAACAGGTTTTACAATATGGTAGTGTACTTCACCGAGACAAGGATACTTCAAGTTCTTAATTAGGGTGTTGAGATAAGCACATCTGTCTGCCTTAACTAACCAATACTAATGCATTTTATTTTTTGGTTTCTTGCTACCAAATGTCAATTCAGGTATACTGATCCAGTGATCCTTTAGTAAATCCGCCTTTCAATGTATTGTTGTGCACTAATGTAAACTGCTCACAGACTATACATTTATCTGTGACTTGTTGTATAGTAAACTTCCCAAAAGAAACAGTCTTATTGGATGGGCCTGTAGACAGGAGTCACAAGACGAAGTGGCCAGAAGTGATGAAGAACATTGGGCATGCCAAGTCTGCACACTCATTAACAAGCCTTCAGACGTGAAATGTGATGCATGCCTAACTCCTAGACCACAAGGTATTTCATGCTCTGTATGCAGTTTGATACATTGACACTGCTGTTCCAGTTAGACAACCAAGTTTATTTTTAAAAAATGGCTTTTCATTTATCACCGTGACAGTATTAGAAGATTTTCAATTAGCCGTGAATTTTTCAGAAAATCCATTGAGCATTATTACTTGGTGGGATGTACTATGACATTTATGTAACTGAGACAAAGTTGAAAGTGCTCAGGTACACAAAAGATATACAAGCTGAGCTGTGTGATTAGAGGTTTTCAGTGTCACCTTACAATAGAATCTTGTATGTAGTAATACATAACCACCCCCCATACATAGCGTCACAGGTGAAATACACGTTTAATTACATAGTATTTGAGGTTGAATAAAGACACAGGTCCATCAAGTTCAACCCATTGCGTGTATGCGTGTGTATGAGTCCCTGTGTGATCTTGTTTACATACTAATGGATTTGGATTTGTAATTGTATGATGTTTTATATTAAAGAAGAACTCTGGGCATACATTTTCTTAACCCTTGCACTGCAAGGGTTAAGTGCTAGGGAGGAAAATAAAGCTATAATCACATGAACCTCACAGCTGGCTGGCTGTTAGACTGGTCTCTGCTGCTTCTCTCCTCCTTTTCAAACGATAGAATGACCCACATCGTCCTATACACTGTATAGGATGTGATGATTCACAGGACCTTAGACTCCCAGAGCATAAGGGGAGAGAGGCTGAAGGGACCGGCCTAACAGCCAGCCGGCTGCGAGGTTCAGGTGAGTATGTATTTGTTATTTTCGTTTCTAGGTCAAAACAAGCACTTAGCCCTTGCAGTCTGGGGGTAGTCCCACTGCAAGAGTTAATTTTGTACTGCCCAGAGTTCTGCTTTAAGGTTTTTGTCTTCATGGTTCATCAATTCAGGTTCCTATCTCACCCTCATAGGATGGATGGATAGTGAATCATCATCATTCCTAGTGATGAGCTGAATGCGCCTGGGTTTGATTCTCGGTCCAAAAAATTGCGAACTTCATTGTGATTTTAATGTGATGAGATAATTACTGAAGTCAATGGCAGGCAAATCTTGAAAATCACTTCTCTCTGTTTTCAAGACTGATAGGCAAGGGCTTGTCAAACAAAGGGCATGGGGATCTGGGTAGTACCCTGGGAGACTTGTAGCAATGCAAAACCTAGTTTTTCTTTTAAAAATTGATTTATTTTAAAGTGAAATCTTAAAAATGCTAAATTCCTTTAACCGCTTGAAGACCAGGTGTTTAGACCCCCTTCCTGGCCAGGCCATTTTTCAGTATTCAGCGCTGCAGTACTTTGACTGACATTTATTCCGTCATGCAACGCTGTACTGAAATGAATTTTATACCATTTTTTTGGGGACAGATAGAGCTTTCTTTTGGTGGTATTTAAACACCACTGCAAGTTTTATTTTTTACTATATTCAGGAGAAATTACTGAAAATTTTATTATCTTATAAAACAACTAATATTACCCACTTTTTTGGTAAAATATAAAAGACGGGGGTTACGTCAGGTAAATAGACACCAAACATGTCAAGCTTAAAAATTGCGCTCACTCGCGAAATCGCAAAAAACTAGCATACCCAAAATTGGCCATAGGCAAAACTTTAAAAGTTTAGTGCTATCAGTGATTGATGGCCCTAGAATTATTGCTCTCACTGCGACGTTCGCGGCGATATGTAACATGTGTGGCGTAAGGGGCGCAATCGTCGTTTTCGCAGGAATGCGCACCTGATGCATGTTTACATGCGTGTATGTAGGGGTGGGGACTTTAAAAAAAATTGGGGGGGGGAAACTTTACATTTTTTTCCTATTTTTTTTTTTCCACTTAACTTTATTGCTATCACAGAGGGGGCTGAGAAAACCCTCTATGTGATAGCAAAATATGTGACAGGTCCTCTTTATGGAGACATCATCAGGGGTCTCCAAGACCCCTAATGTCACCTAGGACCCCCCTGAAGATGCTGATGAAGCAGAGGTCTGCTTCATCAGCTTCTCTCCAGCATCTGAAGCTGGAGAGTGACACGAGAATGCGGAAGTGATGTAATATACACCACTTCCGCATTCTGACAGCGGAGAGGGGACCAGGGGGAGATCGTGAACCGACCTCCCTCTGATCCCCTGTGACACAGACAATATGCTGGTCCCGGGCTCACACCGAAGCCCGGAACCAGCTTGACAGCGGGAGGGGGATAGCCGCAGAGGGGGGGGGTGGCGCACGTCACGGGACCTCTATAGCCGGCGGATCGCTTGCATATTAATGGGCATCGCTGCCTGTTTTCAAAAAGCGGCGATTTCCCGCTCGCGCGTGCGAGCGGATGTAACAGGACGTGTATACACGCCAAGTTACATCCAAGAAGCTCCCGGCCGGCCGTGTATACACAACGGCTGGCCGGGAGGTAGTTAAATAACATGCTTAGCGATGCCTTGAACCTGTCGGTAATTGAAATTCCCCTGTCCTCCTCTTCTTCTTTCTTTTTTTTTTTTTAACACCCACCCCAAAAAACATGTATGCATAGTTTCATCGGGGCTTAAGGTTGGAAATCGACTCTAGCACAACCTATGTTTGTGTGCATGAGAGGTTGTTTTGTTAAGAATATACATATACCCTTGTATATCCTGCTCAGCGAGAAAGACATATAGAAGTAGTTTTTTTTTCTAAATTGTCAATACCCTCAGCTGACTTTACTTACTACTTGGGGAAGGAAGTTCCACATTTTTACTGCTCTCACTATACAGAACCTTCTCCGCAAAACCAGATTTTTATTGTTGATGAGAATTTAGCATGGATTTGGAGTCAGGAATTAGGATATGCACTCAATATGTTGTGCTTGCATGCTATAACAAAGCTGTTGTCTTAAAACAAAACTGCTAATAATACTCCTCTTTTTAAGTTTTAGCAACGTCCGCTATTGAAAATGATGGCTATGATACAGACCTGATCAAGTATCCATGTAATAATTTTGGAATTCCATTGTCTGAAATTAAGATAAACCGAAAAACAGCTTTTGGTCATACAACATTGGTACTTAGTGATTTTAGTACCAAGACTAATGTTGATAATAATGAAGATCATAAGCAGGTCTCTTCTTTGGAGATGTTGGTCAGTGCCTGCAGCAACACACTTCATGTCTCAAATAAGAGGAGAAGCATTGAAACCGAACAGCGGATTGATACCGTAAATGCCGTGCATAGCAGTTCCGGAGTTTCAGCTTCATTTGTCCAGCAAGAGAAGAGACGGAAGACTGATAATATGACACAAAATTTCCGAAATGAAGCCAACGCGCCTGTCAGGTATTTGTTCTTTTAGATATTCATTTAAAATGAATCTGTCATTGAACCAAAGCAGAGCAAACCCCTATCAGGATGATTCGTTGGGTCAGTGGATGCGCGCTAACTGTTGAAAAAAAGTACATGTCATTAATTTGGCGACATGCGTTTCATGTTTTGTGCCCGTGTGGGGGGGAAAAGCATTTGCTCGGCCGCTTTGAGGGGCCATTACCTAACAATGGCAACGCAAACGTGTTACACATTTTGTGCACTTATCGTGAACGCAAGTCGAAAGCGTGCACATGCGCAATCGTGGTACGCCCTGGTGTGTACAGGGCTTTAAGGTTTCTTTTGATAGTTCTGGAGCATTTAATGAAACTCTTGACAGCAACCATATACAATGAGGGGAATTTATCAAAACTGGAGCAGCCGTGCACGGCAAGCAATCCGCTTCTCTTTCATTTTCAAATCTTAACTGAACAAGCTGAAGAGGGAAGCTGATTGGTTGCCCTAGGCAACTGCTCCAGATTTTGTCTGCTCCAGTTTTATCGTGTTTACATGCACTTTAAACAGACATCATCTTGTATTGGCCACTTAAGTACCGGCATGTTAAACCTCCTTTGCTAGACCGTTTTTCAGTGCTGTGGTAGTTTGACTGAGAATTACTCCATCATGCAGCACTTTGCCAAATCCTTTTTATTTTTTTTATACAGGTAGAGTTTTTGGTGGTTAATAACCACTTTTTAATTTTTCGTTATACAGAAATGCTGTTTCCCTTATTTCGTTATAAAACATGGCATATAAAAATGTCAGGACAGTACGAAAACCCCCGAAATGACCCCCTTTTGGAAAGTAGACACTCTAAGGTGATCTCTTCTTCCTTTTTTTTTTCTTTTTAATGCTGCAATGTTTGGAAATGAAGAAACATGGTGATATTGAGGGGCTTAAACATGGAGTTTGGTAATAGTGCACTAGATGCATTAAATGTACAGGTTACATACAGTGGGAGGATGAAGATAAAGGGCTTACTGTACAGATGTGCAGGATAAGGGAGGTGAAGTGGTTAGTATACAGCTCAAAGCAGGGATTGAATGGAGCTGACATATATTAAATAGGAGCATGGGTGAAAGAGTTAAAAATCCTGACACTTTTTTTTTATTTTTTGTTGATGCTGCAGCTTGTTTTAGCTAGGTACTAATGAACGAATTGCTTATTCATTCATTAGTTCCTTTGCATCGTAAACATTGCCATGTGATCGCTGTGATAGCCAATCGCAGTGAGTCGGTCCAATCGGTGGACCAGTGGCTAGAGTGCCTGCTGGGTTTGCACACAGGAGATTCCCGGAGGACATATGTGTATGTCCTCCCTGGACAATGGAGTTGCAGACCGGCATATTTGTAAAGTGGCCGGTCCGCAAGTAAACATTATTCACTACCAATTATCTACAGATCAAGTTATGCCCCTATATGTGAAGACATATCGCATTGCTTTATTTGGAGTTGTGTAATGTTTCCTCTCATGTCCATATGGCCATACAAAACATCATCTTTTTTTTTTTCTACACTCCATGAGAGCATACCCAAGAGATTATCTGAGCTCCTACAAAGGGAGTTCCATTTCAAGCACTACTTCTTCCTTTGCATTCTCTCTCTCTCTATATTAGTGGACAGAAGCAGAAAAATTGCCGCATTTACATGGGGCTGTTTTCCGTCCTACAGCATCTTTCTATCCTACACCACATTTTTTAACATGCTTTTGTGTACAGTTTATGCCTATTTTCATGCGCATATAAAGCCACGTGTTTTTATGAGAACATTCATATAAATGGGCAAAACGCGCAAAAACACAAAACAACAATTGCAATGTGTGTTTTCAAGCATTTCCTATTGAGTCTATGGGGACAAATCGCCATCTGGCCAGAAAAAAGCTCATGTAATTTTTCCAGCTATGAATGCACAACACTATGCTCAGATGTGAATGGGGACCATAGAAATGAATGGGATTTCTTGTTTTAAGCGTTTCAGTGCAGAAAAATATGCTTGACGAAAGCCTTGGTGTGAACGGGGCCTAAAGGTTGGTCCTAGGAAAGCTGACAAGCTAACGCATATCTTCTGAACTCCAGGGGAGAATTATATCGAACACTAGTTCTCCCTGGGTATTCACTGGATGTACACAAAGGTTCCTTGTGTACTACCCTTGTCCTTGGGTAGGAACCACTACCGATGGGGCAAAGGTTTTTTTTAAACCACATGTCCTGCTTTCAGGTTAGTGGGATGCGCAGACTGGCAATATCTTATGGCATTAGGCTTGACACTGATGGGATGACTGCAGCAGGTAAAATGTCACATGTTTGATACCATTCGTTGCTATGAGCAGACCTTGGATCCCTTTTGAAGGATGGGCTTTATGCCCTTTTATTGATCGTAAGGTTTTGGTTTCAGAAATCCCCCCTATGCTTTTATATATGTCAGCACTTGAGGTTAAAATATGCTTTCTTTCTTTCTTTCTTTCTTCCAAACTGGATGGGTCTGTGTTACTTACAGTCTTTCCTAAAAGGAACATGGAGGCTGCCATTGTTTGCAGAAAACAATGTCTGACTGGTTTTCCAGATCTGTAAACTTTTTTGGGTCAGTGAAGTGTATACTTGTTCAGCTTTAGTATAGTATTAAAGCCAGATGATCAGCATTTTTTAGAAGGGAGTTGGCAATGGCAGCCTCCTTTTTTCAGCTTAGTAAATCTAATGTTTTCCGTAAAATGGCAGAATCTATCTGCTTCCAAAATAATAATATTGGGTGGACATCAATTGTGAGATTTAACTTTTAATGATTTAATTTTAATGTTCAAAAGCACTTTGTGTGAGTACATTCTGTGGCATTCAATACAGGCTTAGTGATACAATATTTACTGTGCAAGACGTGCAGTGTTTTGAAAGAAAGTTACTTTATTGCCCAGTCCTGTTTGAAAATCTCCTAATTGTATCTTTTTTGTCACACACATCTGTAACAAACCTTTCCAGATAGTCTGCACATTCTATCTGGAAATGTTTGAAAACCTTTAAAAACTAGTGATATTGTTGCAATAAAACAGAGACAAATAACACTGCACCTCCTCCTCTATATTCTCTTCAGGTCATCTTGGCACTAATAACAGACAAGCTGAAAATATTGAACACCCAACAAGTTACTGTCTCTACGGGATGCTTTTTTGTTTATTTTTTATAGTAATGATTTTCTTTTCTAGGAACAAATATCAGCTAGTGACAGCTGTTCTAATGCTCACCTGCTCCCGTTCTTGTTAACTCAATTTCCCTTAACTTGTCTCCTTCGGTGGCCCTAGAACAATGCAGTTGCATAATTGGCGTATGAAAATGTCACTTTGTTTTTCCTGTGACAGAATATCCTGAAAGTGATTATTCCATCAGTGCAAATAACTCCTTCTAGTGGTTTTATTTATTCATGCTGCTTTTATGAGCTTCAAGTACATATTTAAACTATTATGTGTGTGAGAGACCAGCAGTAATGAAAAATAAATGCATTATTCCTGCACGCTAATGCCGGGTAATCTTTTGTGCCACTTTGATGACAAGAGTTATCCGAACTCTGCTGTTTATTCTTATCCCCAGGGAGGATGCATGAAATAGAACGGATGCATTTAATTTATAGAAACAAACTACAGTAAAAAGTTAATTCCTATCTTTTAACGGTATTAATATTTCATTTTGCATATGGGATATTCTGTGCAAATTAATAATGGCAACAATGTAAAATGCCGCCGTTGTTTAATGTACCCACCCCTCCCTGAATAGGGACTATAAAGAATATTTGCACTTTCATCAGAAAACATTAACGTGTACTTTTAGATGCTGGAGGCCAAACAGCCTCCAGCAGCTCAAATTAAACTGTTATATTTACAAGGCGATTGTGCTACATGTACATCTATCAGAGCAATATACAGGCTGCCATTGTTGGCTTTGTTTTGATAATGCTAGTTGCCTGGCTGTCTCTGGCTTTAAGCCTTAATGAGTGACAGACCAAGCGTGTATCATGAATGTCAGAGTCCTTCAATTCATTATTTCTATAGTGAGATGTATTGACATAATAGGAGAGTTAAAAAAATAGGAGCCTATACAGAATATTTAGGCTGGATGCACACCTAAGTGATACATATTCAGTGCGCATCACGCGTCTTTTTTTTTTTGTGTGTTTTTTTTTTTGTGCACATACATTAACCACTTGCCGTCCGCCCGTTGTAAAAAAACGGATGGACGGCACTGCTGCATTGGCGTGTTGCCATCGCCAGACGGCATTTTTTTTCTGCTCGCGCGCGCCCCCTAGCGGGCACGCACGGGCAGAAAAGACCCGACCAATGCAAACACCCGTTACCGGGTGTTTCACATATAGGCGATCAGTGGCTCCATAGCCCGCCGATCGTCTATATGTGCTCGTTTCCACCGCCCCGCCCGGGTTTTTTTTTTCCCTCCCCTGACCCCTCACCTTGAATCCCGGGATCCGCTACCCCATCTGCGGCCCGGGACCGGGGGAGGAGGACAGGAGATCAGCTCCTTGCTGATCTCCGTCCGGGCTGTGAATGCAGAAGTTATGTGTATTACATCACTTCCGCATTCACCTGTCAGTCATCTGGCTGCTATAGCCAGAGAAAAGAAGCTGATGAAGCAAAAGTAACATATAAAAAAGTAAAATAAAATAAAAGTCACATAAAAAAGGGGGGGGAAAAACGCCCAAAATGTTTAACTCCCCCACCCCCACGTTTACGCGCCTATAAACGTAAATACGCGTCCGGTGCCCCAGCGCGCAAAAATTACAATTGCGCTACACATGTTACATATCGCTGCGAACGTCGCAGTGAGAGCAATCATTTTAGGGCCATCAATCACTGATAACACTAAACTGATGAGCGGTAACAGCTTTTAAAGCGTCGCCTATGGCCAACTTTGGGTATTATCGTTTTTTGAGGTTTCGCGCACGCACGCAATTTTAAGGCTTCACATGTTTGGTGTCTTTTTACCCGACGTGACCCCGTCTTTTATATTTTACCAAAAAATTGGGTAATAATAAATGTTTTATCATTTAATATAGGGGAAACTTTTTTTTTTTAAATTTCGGTAATTTTTCCTTTTAATATAGTAAAAAAATAAAAACCCCCAGTGGTGAATAAATACCACCAAAAGAAAGCTCTATGTGTCCCCAAAAAAGGGTATAAAATTAATTTCAGTACAGCGCTGCATGACGGAATAAATGTCAGTCGAAGTACCGCAGCGCTGAATACTGAAAAATGGCCTGGATGGGAAGGGGGTTTAACACCGCGGATGTTAACTGGTTAAGTCGCGCGTTTTTGTGAGCAGATTTTGGCACATTCATGTCAATGAGCAAAACGTGCGTAATACACGTGCAAATATTCGCAACACTTTTTTCAAGCATTTTCTATTAAGTCTATGGGACAAAACACGCTGAAATCAGCCCCAAAGTAGCTCATGCAGTATTTCCTGTGACAGGCGTATTTCTGCTTGCGACAAAATGCTGACATGTGCACTGGGGTCATAGACATGAATGGGATTTCTACAGTAGTGTTGAGCTGTTTTGTTGCACTGATTGACACGCGCCAAACAGCTTAGGTGTGAAGGGGCCTTAGCCCTCCTTCACACGAGTAAAAGCCGGCCCGTACAGATCTGTGCTGCGTGCGTTGCCAAATCGGGCCGCTCCCGGAAAGGACAGGTGCTGCATGTGATTTGTATGCAGCAGCCTGTTCTTCTCTATGGGAGTACACGGCCGTACGCTCACCCGGACTGCACATTCCTGCGAGTGTCCCTGCTCGGACGCAGACAGTATTGTTTTGTTTTTTTGCAGTATTTTGCTGTAGTAAGGTGTGAGAGCATATCCTTTCCTACTGATTTTGCTTGCCTCTGCCCAAAGTAAATTGGCAAATTGGACATTCGCTGTGAAAGTCTAGTTTTCTTGAGAGGAAAAATAGCCGATTGCTGAAAACTTTGAATTCTAAAATATATATTGAGGTTCATTTAATTGAAGGCTCTTTACTCAACAAAGTGAATTTTCACTTGGCAAAGAAAGTGAAGCTGTGCTGACAGTCATCCAATGATTATTATTTATTTTTTTCTATGCACATTATTGGATATGATTTCCCCAACATTTACCTAATTCACTAAGCTAAGTGAAAATTGCAAAGTAAATATGCACTGCTAGTTTAGCAAATCAAGCCCATTGCATTGAAATTATACTAACATTTACAGAACAAACTTCTTATTTTCTATTAAGGGACACAGCATTGTAGATGTATTAACTGTAGGTCATACTGCCACTTGCAGGAGATTGAACTATATAAACCTAAATGCCTGCCCCTATGGGCCATGACCCCTTCTAACCCTCCTGCCGGTTTGGTGGCCTCAAGAAGATTGGACTTTTCTTTAACTCTGCTGTTTTAAAGAGGAACTATTCCCATATCTTTGAAATTACAACAAATACACTGTTAGAAATATGTAGTAATGGCAATCTACAATCAGATACTTCTAGATAATTGCCCGCTTTGTATTCTTTGCATACCTTTTTTTTTTATTTTCCTCCCCAGTCTTCTCAAAGTGGCCATTTTTACTGAGGGCAGACTAATCTATCTCCCTTTTTAAATCGCAGCAATGCAGTGTGATGTAACCCTCCCAGTATGCATCTCTTGGGCATGGGCTATACCACTTAGGCCTAAGAGGACTAAGAAATAGAAAAACAATAATTGTAAGTAAAAGCAAATTATGTTCATTCAACTATTAAATGATAGATAATTCAATATCAGCATGCAGAGCTGAATGCTGATCTGATTTATTGAGAAAAGGGTTAAAACTCACAGCTCCATTTAAGAAATCGGATTTCTTGGCCATTTTGGAGGGTGCCAAAAAAGGTCTTTGGCTTCCAGCCCTACTGTTTTTAGGAACATTCACCAAAGTGTTATTCAGGCTTACATGTCCAAAGGGAATGTTCCCCTCTCACTTTTCCTGCCTGTGCCCACTTCACAGGGGCACTGAGTGTTATTGGTCTTTTGCAAACCTGCCGCCTGTGGCTTTGTAAGGCTGTGACCTGAGTGTCAGTCAGTGCTGACTTTCACCAAGTTTTACAAGGTGGATGTGTTTGAATCAGCTGATGCCAGTCTCAGTCGCAACATGTTGGCAATTTTGTTGCTAGACTTTATTTTTGCCTCCTGTTTTGGGGCTGCCCACCTTTTTTTAGTTTCTGAAACGCTGTGTCCCTCAATGGATGATAAAGATAGTGGGATTTGTAATGCTTGCCCTAAAATCCCTTTCATGGCATCCATTAAAGAGGAACTTTACCCATATCTTTAAAATAACAACAAAGACACCTTTTAGGTATGTTTAGTAATAACAATCTACAAACACATACTTCTAGATAATTGCCGGCTTTGTGTTCTTTGCATATATTATTTCTCTTTTCTTCCCCAGTCTTCACACAGTGGCCATGTTTACTAAGGACAGATTCATAGATCTCCCTTTACTTCCTGGAACTCTGGCACATGTGACTAGGACATGTGACCATGCACATCATCTCAGGGGAGGAACATGTCTTTTCGTGAGATCTCGTGAGATTACCCAACAATGCTCTGCTGATGTAACTTTCCCAGGATGCAATGCTTGGGCAAATTACATAATTTGTGCCAAACTGTACCAGGAAGTGGATAAAATCTATTTCAATTAAAATGAAAAACATGTCTGTTTAACAAATGAATGTAAGATTATTATAAATCAGCATGCAGAGCTGCATGCTGATGTGCCTTTTAGTGAAAGGGGGTAAAGGTCCACTTTAAGGGATACAGCTTCCTTCCTGTGTGATATGGCCATTATTGTGTTTTCTTACTGCTTGCTACAATTAAGCAGGATGGTTAGAGAAGGGATTATGGCCCTTTAGGGACTGGCTTTTTTGGCTAGTGTCCAATCTACTGTGGCAGTATAACCCAGGCTTTATATTGATTGTGAAGTTATTAAAATAATAAGAGCTAACCGTTGTATGTATCAGCAGAAGGCACTAATTCTGTAATAAAACTTCTACAGCTCTCCTCGAGTTAATCAGACCGGGGGAACCTCTTCTCCACATGCCAGCAGCACGCTTTGCAGTAAGCACAAACGACCCTGTGCTCTCCATGTTGTCAGGAAGGATGGACAGAATAAAGGAAGACAGTTTTATAGTTGTTCTCTGCCCAGGGAAAGTCGGTGTGAATTTTTTGAAGTAAGTTTGCCTTTTTATTTTCTATATTAATGTGTATTGACCCAGTCAGGTTGCTGGAGCCAAAACATGTTCACACTTGTCAAAAAGCCAGTAGCAATGCTATCCAGTTTCCTAGAGCATAATTCCCACTTAGTTTACCTTTTATCTAAATGTTATCGAAGGGGAATTATGGGGTGAGTGGGAAAAAAACCTCATCCCCATAATTCAAGCCGACCTGTAACAAAGAAGCTGTCATAGGTCGGCTCTATTGATTGCGAAGTCAGCGCATGATTGCTGACTTCCCAATACTCTCCCTGCAGAGAGTGATGACTGTCAGTCAACGCTCCCCGCAGGAATTCCGCCCTTCCAGTGTCTGTCAGTGTCCTGACTGGAGGAACGGAGGGCACAGCTGGCTTTGTCTCTAGAGGCTGAGCCAGCTGTCAATCAGCCAGCAGGGTGGATCTCAACAGCACTGTCAGGATCCGTCCTGGCTGCGGCGCTCTCGGCATACAGCCTGCTATATATTGAGTTTTAGGTCACCGGAGAACACAGTATATGTCCTCCAATGACCCTGAGGAGAACTTTGGGCAAAAAAGGTTGCTCCATAGTTCTCCTTAAAGTGTGTCTAAACCCAAATACAAAATGTTCCAGCTTACCAGTCCTTCGATGTGGTAGATGCATTCATTTTAATGCTAAGACCATTTGCAGCAAGTACAGACAATGCCTGGTGATCTTGCTAGAAATTGTCTCTTCCTGTGAGCTGAAAGAAAGCACGAAGAACCTTCGATTTATTGCATAAACAACTAGTACCATCAATCCACCATGTAATGCACAGTCTGCGTGACAACCATGGCTGCCTTTGTTACTCACTGTAGTACCAGGTCCAACTTAAAAAGAAAAAAAAATGCAGCTGCTACATCTAAGGACTGGCACTCTGCAATCTTTTGCATATTTGTTTTTAGGTTTAGATATGCTTCAAATCCCTTGTAAACACATTTAGCACATTTCTCAGACACGGTTTCTGTGCATGATTTTTTACTGTGCAACCCCCCAAGCCTCCTTTTAGTTGAGTGGGTGATGTTGTACCAGGAAACACTTTGGTATATGGTATGGTACAGTATAAATGCACAGTTGACAGATCCATCTGGAATGTACCTTTTTATTAATGTAAAGTTCCTGCCATTTTCCGATTTTACTTCCATTTACCCCTGTCCTATTTAATCTTTTTGCAGTGGGCTGACCTTCATTTTCCATTTTGCAAGCATGGAAAGCGCTGTATAATGAGAACGGTACTTAAGATTGGTCCAAACAATGGTAAAAACTTTTATGTCTGTCCTTCAGGCAGAGATAAACAGTGTGATTTCTTTGAATGGGCTAAAGAGTCAGACTAAGGCTTCATTCACATGTGTTTTTGTTCTCTGTGCAGAGCAAAATCTGTCAGGCTAGATAATGAGGAGTTTATGCTTCTAGATGCGTTTGTCTACATGCTTCTGGTACCAAATTATGGTTGCGTGCATTTAGAAGTTTAAAACCGATTTCTAGATTCACGTGACTTCTAATTGAAAATCATTATATATATGTGGGTGTTTTAGAAAAGCTTTTTAAATGCATATAAATCATACCTAGTGAATGTAACCCAGGACTGCTTTCTTGCCACTGACAATTGCTGCTGTATTTGTATATATAAAACTGTATTTTCAACCTTGCAATATAAATCATAGTGAGCATGTAATTCTTATTTGACTTAAGTTCAATGCATTTTAAATTCTCAAAGGATAAGTGTGCTGTATTATCTATTAACCATGGGAACATAATAAAAATATGAAACCAGTAGAGGTTTTAATGTATACTTTTAATAAACGAAAGTGATCATTATTAGCAATGTTCAGGCTTAATGGAATGCTGTCACCTTTATTGGTGACATGAAAAAAAGAATTTGTAGAAGTGCTACATAAATAATAGAGTATCTCATGATCATTCAGTTTTCAGTGTGCATTGCTAACTGTGGATGAGGACATCAGATGAAATGCTAAGTCAGTAACCTTGGACAAGCTTTATATGAACTTATAACCATTAAAAGGTACTTTTACTGTGTTTTGTTTGACCTCTGGAATTTCTGTTCAGGCTTTGTGTCCCCAATTATGCCTGACAACTACATGCATTTTTATATGCTTTCAGGCACATTGCAACAGGGTTTTGTAGGACCCTATTAAGCTTACTTTAATGACAAAACAGCAAAAATGCAGTATGCAGGGATTTTACTCGCTTCACTGCGGGAGGTCAAATTACAAACTGTATATTTTCTGTATGACAGCACAGAACAAATAAATACTATTCAAACAGTTAGTAAACAGCTGTACTGCTGGAATACATAGACACATAATAATTCTGATATAGACGTGGCTAGGGATGTTCAGATACCAAGTACTGTACTCGGTACAAGTACATGTACACATAGTTTTCCAGCTCCAAGACTAGACTAGGGAAAAATTCAAAAGTTAGGAGGCAGCTTTCATTTATAAAGAGCTCACGGAGCTCCTGGGATTTGTGCATCCCCATTTTAATGCATTATTATTATATTAGTATTTTTAATACTGCGTTTTTTATCACAGATACCATTTTTACAAGTACTGATACTTGTCCAAGTACTCACAGATACAAGCACTTTATACAAGCACTGATACATGTTTGTTTATTGTCATGTGATAGTTTTTCTAAAACAATACAGACTAATGATTTCAGGACAGCGGTAGAAAGCCAGAACCAGGTCCCCGCTGCAACCCTGGTAGTTCTCGTGAAAATGCCAAGTATCTGAACTGGTATCTGGACATCACTAGACGTGGCGGTAGGTGGGACATCAGACAAGCTGCAAAACTGTTATCTATTCCATGTTATTATGTTGGCTATTATCTGCCATGTTGACAAATCTTTAAGTAAATCTGTGGCTAGGCTATGGACATTCAAGTATTTACCTACTCTTAACTATCAGAAACAAATCCTCTCCAATCGCTTCAGCTGTAAGCACTGTGGAACAATTAATCCTCAAAAGCACAGGAGTTGTTCAAGTCCTTCTCTTAGCACCCTCGTACTCCCTTCTCAGATGCTCTGTATTTACATTAAAAAATGGTAGGATGCCACTACTGGAAGGTGAGCAGGTTGAGCTGAGAATAGAACGACTTCAGTGCTTCTGCTTTGGGAAATCACAAAAATCAATGCCAATTGGCGACTTACCCACGAGTCTTAAACTTGAATTGCTTACTCAATGTTAAAATCCAATAAAGATTTATTGAAATAAAAAAAAGCTTTAATTACGGCCGTTAAAATATTTTTTTCACTTTATTGGTTCATATAATATTTTTCCTTTATCTGCACCCCTTTTTATATCACTCCAATAATCTAACAATGCCAACAATAAATGCTGTTTTATTTTGTTTTCCAACTGAGGCTTTTCTTCCTAAATAGAACTGGCAGTTTTCTCTTCTATCACTATCTGCCCTTAAAGTGATATTAAAGCTTAAGTTGTTTTTTAATTTCTCCTTTAAGGAGACCGTTGCTTTTTTCTTTAAAGTTTTTCGTTCCTCGTTTTCTAGTGGGTCCCCACAGGCTCTTCTCGTGGAGGCACCCGTGCGTGCTCGTGCCCACAGTGCCTGTGTGCGTCCCTAGACACACTCAGCCCTGTTGCAGGCCACACCCCTTCCCTCTTTAATTGTTTATCCTTCCAACTGTTCACTTTAAAGTGTATTTTCACTTTTGCAGCCAAATTGGGATAACACCTATTTTATATGGTCCCATTCACATAGCATAAGCTTAAAAAATACAAATGCTTCTTGCAGTTTTAAATTTGCTTTTACTTGGGTTAAGGTTTCTTGGCTTCTTAAGGGTTAACATTTTTACTTGCTCCTCCTCTTTGTAATGTTAGGAGGGGATGTGAGGGGTGAAAGGGTTACAAGCCTGGCTTCTCCATTGTATGTTAATGAGAGAAGTGCAATCCTCAAATTTCAGTCCAAAATCTTTCTATAAGGACAGATGATGGTGAAAGTGCTCAGGAAAACCTGGATTCAGCCATGTTGCCTACTGCAACAAAACATCAAAAAGATAAATCCTTTTTTTGGCATACTGTGTGATTTAGGAACTCATTACAAACATATAGTGGGGTTTTCTCAAACTTGACTGTAGAAGTGAAAACACACTTTAAACCAGCACAGTTCCTATTTCTCTGTAAAGAAAGTCCATTGTGCACTGCCCATTAACTATTTGTTCAAGGGGCTGATTGTTATTTTGGACATGGCTTGTGTTCTGGTACATTAGCCATTTTGCATGTTTGAGAGGTAAAATATAAGAGTCTGCAGAGCCACTCATATTGAAAATGTTTACACGTATTGACATCATTTACCATGCAACAGATTGCTGCCATGTATATCTATGTACTGGTCTATAGATGTTGTAAAGTGTGGGGATGATCCACAGCTTAAAATACACATAAATATACTGTACCTGTACAGAAGGAGGCTAGTTAATTTTAAGTTTGTAAAACGCTCTATTAAAAATTAAGTACATAAGCTAACTGAATGCCAGCTGCAATAGAATAAGTGCTCAATATTATATGCTTTTATATTAGATAACCTATCATAGAAAAGCCATGGAGTACTTTGCTACTTTCTTTGCCACAATTGGACATTTCAAGTACACTTTCTGTAGTTTTTACATTCAAGTATGTGAAACGCATAGGTTTTAAAAACAAGCAACCTTTGTTTTGGGGGTCATGATTCTTGAGATTTATTATAAGATGAACATATTCTGTTGTAAACACCTGGCACATGTCCCAGCTTCTATAGACAATCCACTACCTCATCTAGTGGTTGTGAACGGCCAGGTTTAAAAACTGTGTAATGAAATTGAGAGAATCCTGGAGCCTTACCGCACGCAGCACCTAAAAACAAAGAGAATGTGTTAGATTTATACTAATGGTTTTCATTGTACCATCATATTTGTCTGGTATAAATATTAAGACCAGGTATACATGGTGCTGGCTATGTATGCAGTGCTATTTCTGCCAACATTCTGGCTTGCCTTCAAACACTTCAGGTAAAGGGGGCCACTGAGGGTAGTACTAATAGTTAAGACTTGCATTAAGCATTACCTGATTGTTGCAGCCATCCAACTTTTGAAAGGCTGCTAAAGTTTGCTAATTCCTTCATCTATGCCAGTTGGCACTATTTCTAGTCCTTGTATAGATGGCAATGCGGAATGAGTGTAGAGTACGCACTGAACAACCTCCCCCCCTCCGCTGTGGCCCAAGGGATGGGACTATAAACTTTCCTTTTGTTAGACTTTTTTGGTCTTCTAAGAAGGGTTTATTTTGGTAGAATTTACTTTTGTCTTTCTATAAAAAGGGTTTGCCCTCTTAACTCACCATTCTGTAAAATGTCAACCTACATTTTTACAGCTTGGATTTATTCTCACCATGCAAAACGCAGATCATGGCTGAGGGGTACGTTAAATATATACAGTGTATACACTTTCTTTCGTATGCAAAAAAAAATAGGCAAACCTACATCACCCATTCACCAATTTAAACAACAACAAAAAAACTCCCAAAGCAGTTATTTGTTGGCCTTTAAACAAGTCCTCAGTCTGTGCCCGTAGCCTCGTCCGGAAATGGAGACCACTGATCCAGCACTGCAGTCCAGGCTCCCTGCCGACTGCTTACATTGCTACTCCTCTTTAAATGTCCTCACGCTACTGCTCTTTTGTACAGGACCCTGGCACTGGACAGCTAATGACAGGACAACTGGAAAAGGACCCTCCTACTTTAGTTAGAAGAGTCAGGTCCTGGTGTGCCATGTGACCACAGATATGTGGTTTTTATTGTAGTTTTCTTCTATGTAGCAAACCTGTTTAATTATGTTGTACTATAATATTTTGATGCCTTCATCTGACAAAATATTTTTATCTCTACCTTTTTAAAACTAATTTAAAAAAAAAATGTATACTATTACAAAAAAAAAAAGTGTTTACCAGAATGTTTAGTTTTTCTATTTTAAAGCAAATGCCCTCTTGACCTCCATAACTCCATTATAGTGTATAGCATATTAACAGTAAAAGGCAACTCAAAAACTATTCATGTAACTTGGAAAAAAAGATCCCGCAACTTAATGATGAAAGAGTAACGAGCTTCTCCAAGTCTAATCTCACATACACGAATCTGTGGGAAGTAAAAGATCAAAGTATGGAATAAGCGGTCTAAGCTAATAAGTCTTATTGATTGGTAAATTGTACTCACTGCTGAACTAAACCATACTAATGAGACATCCTGCACAATGACTGATCTTTGATTGCTTTGAAGTTTGAGGCCCTTCTATATATTTATGCAAAACAAAGCTAGAGTCAAACGCCATGTTCCATAATTATGCATCGTTACAGTGAGCAATTTGTAACAGGGATTTCTGAAGATTTGCTAAAGGAACTTGTTAAACATAACTATGCGGAAAGGAACTTGCAACAAACTTAATTGTCTCTTGCATAAAAAAAAAATTATATATATATATATATATATATCAGACAATATTCAGACAGTGTTTACAATACAGGCAACAGTATAGGCATGAAGATGTATTGTGCAGGACAACGGGCTTTAAAGGGGTTTTTATACTTGCACTGTTTTCCAAAGGATTGCTGGAGAACCCTGGGTAGGCCATGCTATATAAGCTTTGCTTGCTGCATATCAGAAGAATGTTCTTCTATCGACAATTTTGCTCCAGTAAGTAGGAAGCGAGCACTATATGGGTATAGGGAGCATCTAATGTCCTACAGTTCCTTCCAGAAGAAAACTTGTAAAAAAAAATATTTATATATTATCTATAGTCCACCACTGCTGGTCACGTGCTTGTTCTGGGGCACAGATTCAAATTATTGAAGCCAGTGGATCAGTGTTATAGCCAGCCAAACTGTCCTTTTCCAGGGGCCAGCGATGGTGGCATCTTTAATTTCGCTTACCACAGGTATCCTTTAAGGCGGAGGTAGCTAAACTCCATCCCTCCAGCTGTGGTGGAACTACAAATCCCATGAGGCATTGCAAGATTCTCGCAGCCACAGGCATGACTCCCGGAGAGAAGTGCATCATGGGATTTGTAGTTTCACCACAGTGGAGGGCGGGAGTTTGGCTACCCCTGCTTTAAGGTAATGGCTTTACAGACAGTGGAGTACTGCAGGAATTAAAAAGAAAAATCATTACCTTCTCAGGGAACAGCCACAGAAAGACTCTACAAGGCTGAATATTAGATGTTTATGCTTGATTTTCTAATCCGCCCCTTTCACTAAAAATCCCATTAGCATGCAGCTCTGCATGCTGATATGAAACCATCTTACATTCATTAAACAGTTTTTGCTTTTAACTACAAATACTGTTTTTTCAACTTTCCGGTTAAGTGAGGCTCTGGAGGTGTAATCTTGGTCCCATAGATGCATTCTAGGAAGGCTACATTACCAGTGCCTTACTGGGAAATCTCATCTGTAAACTGCAAAATCTCGATTAAGTAAGAGTGAATTTCCTCTTTAAGAGTCAATACTTTAGTAAAATGTACCATTTTTAGTCCTAATTAATGGTATTTAAAAAATGGTCTGTAAGAAGTTTCTAACTAAAAATATGAACATTCAGAATAGGAGACTTGAACTTTTTCAGTTGTGTACAATTCTAGTCAGTATACTGGTAAACTTACCATAGCTTCCTGTCTTGTTGGCACATACAATGGCTCCAAAAAACACTGGGACATGTTTCTGTATCCTAGCAATCGCTTTCTGACACGCAGAGGTGGGATCAGCTCCCATTCTCATGTTCTCCACAGCTTGGTAACTTCAATAAAATAACAACAAATGAATGCTTTTGTTTTTATCAAACAAGATGTATACTTCTAGTTTAAAAGTAAACACTCACTAGGTTAAGGCCTTCTTCACACCAAATGCAGAGCAGATCCGCTCAGGTTTCTGCACACGCAGTGCAGTGGGTTGTGCCACTTTTTTTGACGCGTTTTTGACTAAAAAAAAATTTCGTTTAACATGGGCTTTCAGTGCGTTCCATACATTTGCATGCTTTTTTGATGCGTTCCAGAGCAGGTAAAATAGGGCTTGCTGCAGTTTTTTCACCTGCTCTGGAACATAACGCTGCGATGTGAACTGGAGCAAAAAATACCATTGGAATACATTGGACGCAGTTTTGATCTGCTCTGCACCTGCTCCGCGCTTGGTGTGAATAAGGCCTTAGACAGGGCAGGGAGAAAAATCACAGAATGAATGGCAGCCTTTGTGATTCCAGGTTTTTTTTTTTATTTCCAGTTAAAAAAGGTACAAAATGAACAAATAATACTCCCACAGCTGGAAGGCAGGCAGCGCTCCCCTTCTTGCAGATATCCCCTTCAGCAATGAGGAATGTTCTTAGAGGGGCTCCCGTAATTAGGGGACACCCTTCTCAGAGCATTGGTGTACGAGGCTTTTTTCACTGCCCCTATCTTTTCAACCTGTGCCGAAAAGGGTAGGAAGATCTACGTGCAAGCTACCCGTCCACAGTGGTGGAAGGTAACTTGATGCTGATACATTATGCCCTGTGATCTGGTACAGGGAATACAATTTAACTGTTTTTTTTTTTTTGTATTATACGGCAGTTGAAGCCAAGTGAAAGAAAGCATAGAAATCCACCGTACTGTACGTAGTACAGGTATGCCATTGGGAAAAAAAAAAGCTCTGGCAGTCAGCTTTCAGCTGTCATTTCTAAAGTCTTGGTATGAAAATCAAGATGCTATGAATAACAAGAACCTCTCCTGTGGGCACACTTTTCATGCATCAGCCCTGGATCTATACCCATTTATCAGAAAGGATCCTACATTTTTAAAGTAGGTAACTGTCACCATTTGGGTATTGCAGATGTATGTGAGCAACATGCTGGTCTTCAAGAACCTCAATAACATATGAAACACTGTCACTGCTAAGTTGTTTTGATGCAGGCTCTGGGTCTCTCATTCTTAAGTGAGTCAGTGACAAGTACGGGTCAGTTGTTCTGACTTAACTGGCAGCATGCTTGTTCTTGGTCCGACTGATTAGTCACAAAAAAGCATGCTACCAGCAAACTGTCAGTCACAGGCCCAGGACAACCATGCTGGCAGTAAATAATTATTCACTAGTAGCATGCTTGTTCTGTGACAGTCACTCAATAAAAGTAAGGATAGGATTACAGTCCTGAAAGTCTGCCTCCAAGTGAAGCTCGTCATAAATGGTTTGATTTGCTGATCTCTCCTCCTATTTTCAAAGGTAGACCAGCAATGGCAGCCCCTACATTTCTATCTGAATAGGTCCCCTTTTAATTAACAAATATATGTTATCTCCCTTATGTATCCCTTACAATTCCACAATTATTTTATGAGTTTATCTGGTTTAAATACCTGAAACCCTGGGTATAAACATAATTGCCACATAGAAGCTTAAATGAGTCTTAGCATTGGCATGCCTGCATTACAACACAGTAAAACACATTGAACATTAGAAGATTTTTAGTCCCAAACCGTGCGCTAATGGGCATGCACCACAACAAAGATCTGCAGATGGCACGGCTGTGCGCAAGTATATTATAAGGGAAGGAGGGTAAAAAAAAGTATAACAGCACAGATTTAAAAGTGTAAATCTGCTTGAGAAATATTGGGCTGCCATTGCAGACTTCCTGAAAATACGACCTCACTCTACAGTAGTTTGAGTCACTGAGCCATAACCGGTATGTAAATAAGGAAAGTTAAAGTAAGTGAAGGATAGTGTTGAGGCAAAAGAGTTGACATAGCATCTAGCCCAAGAGCATTTCCAGGGGGTGGGGGCGAAATGGCAACCACCATGTTTGTCTCATCATGAAAAAAATATAATGGAGACAATTATCGACTTGCCATATTCCAGACATAACCAGCAAGTATGCTTGCAGGAGTTATTTGGTGGGTAATATACATGGGTACAGGGTCAAATTCTCCAAATAAATGTGTTTATGGGTATACTGTTTAATGGTCACTTGGTCATATATTCAAAGTCTGTGGTAAATGGAACCTATGCCTGTCATTGTAATAACTCAGCATTTTCTGTACATGAGAACTTGTATGATAATTAGCTGCAGAATATAATGAACTGCTTGTACTTCAGTATAAATGGAATGTGAAAAAAAATTGAATTGTCAAAGAGGTGATTTCTGGCTCTTGCTAACTGTAAAGCAGACATATATTCACATTTTAATTTGAAGCTATATTCTACAGCTTGCTGGAATGCATTGAAAAAAGACAAAAGAAAAAAAGATTGATAGAAGTCCTTAAATACGTTCCTGTCCCAGAGAAAATTGTGCTCAAGGATTCATCCAGTACTACAGAAGCAAAACTGTTTGGTCCTTTCAGTGCAGGACTGGCAACGGCCCTACGAACCTCGGAGGTGTTAGGTGGAGGATCTTCCCCCTCAGCTGCCCTGGACCCTATATCTCCTCCTGTGGACACTCTTCCATCCTTTATCTATGGTGTCCAGGCCTGCTTTAGCTGTGATCATTCCATCCTCCTCCACCCTGGGCTCACATGCCCTTGGTCCGCTATATGCCAGTGCCGACCTCACACCGAAGGGACTACCTCTCCCCGCTCCTGAAGCGCCTCATTGGCGCGAAACGCGTTGAGCGTACAGGCAGTGCCTTTTTCAGCATTGCTAGCAACATATCACGCCCACAAGCTTTGTTTCTTCCACTTGAGATACCATCCACCAATATTTGTCTCATTTTGAGTTGCTTTGTCAATATGTTATTATGATGCTATTTCCTAACATGTATGGGATTATGATCATTTAGGCAAAAATCTAAATTGTGGTGTATAGGGGGTCATAGGAGGTATATCTTTTCCCCTGAGGTATACGCTTCTTATTTTTATAAATCATGCATATTTAATGCTTTTATTATATATTGTTTAATAAATTCATATTTTTTATACTTCTATGAGACTGATATATATTTTTAGGACTTGTTCTTTCTGGAGCCACCAAAAAAAAAAAAACCATCTTTCTCTATCCTTTTTTGTAACAGTACTACAGTGCTACTTGTATAACAGTCTAGGTAACTGGTCACAATAGATTGGCTAATCTTCTTTGGCAGAGATGGGCTTTAAAGAGACCCTGTCATCATACAAATTTCAACAGCAATCTGCCTATAACATTATATGTACATATAAAAAATAACATTACATGCATGTTATTTACCTGTAAAAGACTTCCTTGTATAGAAATCTAAATGCCCAGAGACTGCTGTTGTGTGCCACTATATTGGATGTGATGGCAGCAGACTCAAAGCTGTAATTTAAGTGACACTCTACAACACAGTTAATCAAACTCCAGCCGTGGTTCAACTACAAATCCCATTAGGCATTGCAAAACTCTGACAGCCACAGACATGACTCCCAGAAGAAGCATAATGGGATTTGTAGTCTCACCACAGCTGGAGAGCCAGAGGTTGCCTACCCTTGCTGTACAGTGTTGCCCTTCGCCCCTACCCTGGCAGCTGCCTAAAAAGTTAGGCAGAGAGGTGAGGAGATGCTGGGCCAACACAGACAGTAATTAGACACTGCCAGAAGAGGAGGGAGCTGTGCTAGGGCATTGATAGTTCTGAAGTAGTCAAATTTGCTAGCAAAGTTCAAATGTACATTGCAAGCCAATTAGAAAATAATGTATTGAAAGGGAAAATGTTACAAGTGTGCATTTAAAATACTTGATTTTTCTGTGCTTTACACTGAAATGTTTAGGATGGTGACATTATATTTAGGCATGCTATCTGTAAAAGACAAAAGATGCGCCTTCATATTTTCTTTCATTTGCAGGAGACTAGTTAAGAAAACATTAAACTAGCAATTGTGTAAGGCTTATTTCCTATATGAAATTTGCTACCACCACGCTCCGTAGAGAAGATAAAGTCCATGAACAGAATTATACTATTCAGTTTGACACTCTGTTGTATTGTCCCGCAACATTTCTACATTGAGAGTTTTACATTTCATTCATTGCAATCTACTAGAGTTCTAAACAACCCAGATTACCTTGGTAAAAATCTCATCATGGTATCGCCATCTCCTGTAGCAGCTGCTCCTCCAACTGAGCTGTCTGCATAGGCTCCAGCTCCAATGACTGGTGAGTCTCCCACACGGCTAAAAGTTTGCACAATGCATTTGTTATTTAAGCACAAACTGTTCCTGGACATCCTAATGATGTTACCATGTATTTACATATAAAGATGTGTAGTTTGCCCACAACAGTGAGGAAAAAACCCCCCAAAAATGTTGACATTTCAGTGAAATAAGTAACCCCATTTTTAAAAATGAATTCAATAGGGGAAAATCAAACCACAAAAACATTATAGCACGTGTTATAGCTTTACGCTCTTATTTTCATTGTCTGTGTAAGACATCACATTGTCTAACTCTAACGATATTAACTCAGGTTATCAGTGCAAATACTGTATGGAATATGTAATATTTTACCTTTCATTTCCTCCAAAATGGATTAAGTCAATTTACATCGTATTACTCCTTAACTAGCTTTGACTCGCTATCTAAGTGAAATTTGACAATGTGTCAGGGAGAAGGTAAAAAGCCAACCCGAGTGATAAAATAGCAGTAAATATTCAATAGTTAACATAAATCTAAAGCCAAAACATTTTTGCAAGTTTTGGATAGAGTAGGGAAGAGTTTTGTATTATCCTCCATCACTTTCCTATAGGGAAGATTTGTCTTTATTTGTGGTCCTAGAACACAAGAAGTGAGAGAATATGTCTGCAAACTAAGTGAGATCTCCTCTTAGACAGTTCTCACCACAACTAGCATCCCTATGGGAAGATTTCTCCTTTATCCCTGTTCTGATGACAACTCATAATTTCGTATTTCCTTCATTTTCAGTGGTAACTAGGACAATAGAAGCAATAAAAAAAAAACAGAGATTTTAACTAGAGGTGCACCGAAATAGAAATTTAAAAACCGAAATAAAAAAAATTGTCAGGCCGAAACCGAAAGTTTTTATTTTAATGTTTTCACATTTTTAAAACATTTTAATTTATTTTTTAAACTTTTTAAATATATTTAACTTTACTTTTAGGGGCTTCAGGGAAATATTAGAGGTCCAAACAGACCCCTGGTAATTCCCTTTTAAAATAGAAAAAGAGATTGCGGACACAAAGTCCTCAATCTCTTTTTCTGCAGCCCCTGTTATCAATGAACAGGAATCCTCTGAGTGTTACTGTTCATTGATAACATGAGAACAGAGTATGTTTACTATAACTACAACTATGAATGAACAGGAGGTGATTTATCTCACTTCCCATTCATTCATAATTGAGGATATAGGTAACATACATTGTCCTCAATTATCTACAAACACTCAGTGATCACTGAGTGTTTGCTCTCCTCTCTGACACACACTGCCACAGGAGGCTGAGCGAGCGGTGCAGGGAAAAGAGCTCAGCTTCCTATGACAGCGCTGTCTCCGCCCCCACACCGCTTTCCCGGACTGTGATAGGCGGCCGAGCGGTGTAGGAGGAGAGACACTGGCCGCTCACATCGCTCTCTTCCCACAGCACTCGGCTAGCTGTCACTTTCTCTCCTCCCCGCTGGGACACAGAGCAGCGCCCAACAGGGAGGAAAGAAACCTGGGATGCGTCGACGTATTGGCACTTTCGGCGTTTAGCCAAAAGTGCCATTTTCGGCTGATATATCGGTGCATCGCTAGTTTTAACTTTTCCAAATTCTATCCAAAACACAAAAATTGGCTTCAGATACATTTTGAATTATATTTAAAACAAGCATTTTTTTGTTTTAAATCGAATAAAAAAAGGGTACGGCCAGCTAGGTTTTTCTTTTTTGTGTCCCTTCAATTATAATCCGGAGATATAACAACAGGAAATTAAAGTGAAAGGAAATCCCCTCCAAGACAGTTGAGACCAAAAAAGGTGTCCCCATTAGAAGGTTTACCATCCATGCCTGATGTACAATATTAGATTTCTCAATAATTCTATGATAATGGTCTCTGGGATAAATAAAGTCAATCTTCCCAGCAGTGATTGATGCAAAAAAACACTGCAAAAGTTTTTTTACACTTCCTCACTAAATCTAATGCCAAAAAAAAAAAGTTTTTGCATACACTTCAAATACCCATACAACATTTCCAGAATGGAACAAACTGATGTTTTCAGCTGTGCTTTGTTTGTAGCATACATCATGTAAAATAACTAATGTACAAGAGTACTATTGAACTACAATGGCTGATTATTGATATGGTCCAGAAACAGACAAAAATTAAAGGTGAATAAAGCACTTGGACTGGATGGCTTACACCCACGTGTCATCAAAGAATTCAGCTGTGTAATTTCAAAGCCATTGCATCTAATTTTTAGAGATCTCTAATGACAGGCTTGTGCCAATCCATCAAGACAAATGTGGTGCCTATCTTTAACAAGGATCAAAGTCTTTGCCAAGTAATTACAGACCGGTAAGCTTAACTTCAATAGTTGGGAATACACTTTAAAGTTTGATCAAGGATTACATGCAATTGTTTTTGCTTGAAAATAATATCATAAGCGATAGTCAGCACAGATTCACAAAAGACAGAAGTTGTCAAACAAACCTACTTTCTTTTTATGAGGAAGTGAGTAATAAATTGGACAGAGGAATGGCTGTGGATATAGTATACTTGGACTTTGCAAAAGCTTTGGACACAGCCCCACATGCGGCTAATGTATACGTTAAGGTCAGTAGGTATAGAGGATTCAATCTGTCATTGGGTAGAAAACTGGCTTAAAGACCGTATACAGAGAAAGTGTGATCAATGATTTATACTCTGAATGGTCTGACGTTGTTAGTGGTGTCCCCCAAGGTTCAGTGTTGGGCCCCTTACTGTTTTATCTATTTATAAATGACAGAGTTGGGGATTAACAGTACTATTTCTGTGTTTGCAGAAGACAAGTTATGTAGTGGAATACAGTCCTTACAGGATGTCTCCAATTTACAAGCAGATCTGAATGCACTGTGTGATTGGGCATCTATTTGGCAAATGAGGTTTAATGTTGATAAATGTAAAGTTATGCACTTGGGGATAAAAACAGCATGCGTCATACACTCTAGGGGGGG